AAACATGTATTCATAATTATTTACAAGTAACATTTCCTTGTCATGTATACTTTTAAATGTCTGTATACTAGCCATTTAAAAAAAAAAAACCACTTACACAAATTGTATAAAATATTATTTAAAAACAACGTTCAAAAGAAATTGTGTTCGATACTTTTGTAATGATGTATCGAACTGTACTGATAGATGACAAAAAATTACTTTTAATAATATCTATAATGCTTTCCCCACGTAAAATCAATAAAGATAAGATTGTGTGAAATCCAATATAATGAAAACTCGATTAATGTTATTAGGGTTATTTTTGTTTAGTTTCATTTATCGACAATTTCGCACATACTACCTTTCGAACATATAATCTTTCGAACATATAATCTTTCGTACAGACAATTTTTCGTACACTTAACGTTCGAACATACAGCATTCGAACACATGATTTTCGAACACATGACACGCTACCTATGCTCAGAGTACTAAAAAAAAACTCTAATAATGTTTGGGATTCCGTGCCTTCCAGCTGCGGTTAATCAAACACCACTCCATTCCTCATTTCCTTTTCTCTCCTTAGATTATAAGTTATAACTGAACGATTATTATTCCGTCCCTATTATTTCTCGGCTTATGCTTAATACGTGTCGCTTAATAATTATGAATATAAAGATTTTTCGTAATATGTAATCTATCTTTATACATAGCAGCTACACTTATTTGTTTACGTGTGCGTTAACTGTTATGATATTATTATATTATTTTTTTTAGGTAATAAATGACTGATTTTCGTGTAAAAACAAAGCAAAATATCTTAATAAAAAAACAATACATTGCAACTGATTACTGCTTTTAGTGCACGCATGCTTATATTTCTTATTTCTAACTCCAATTCTTTAGAGGTATATTGCATTTAACTTAGCCATATACTATATAGGTATGTAATATAGTTCCCGGTTCCGACTAAAAACCAAACTTCTACAAGTATCCCATATTCCATAATATATATTATTATTTATTGAGCACAAATATGATCATATTATAGGTGGGTATTAATTAGGTAGGCTAAAAGTTAAAGCTAAGTAAAACTATCTATTGTAACGACTATTACATTTGTCAATCAATTTGAAAAATAAGACGTTCATTTAGTTGTATAATTATAATATTATACTTATTAAGGCTGATTAATTAATTATTTTTTATTTTAATTATGTTGTATATACAATGATTTTAAACATAAATTAATAAATATTTCTAGATGTATTTTTTTATTAGATATCAAAAGAAATATTTACAAATTAACAAGTTTAACAAATACAGTTTTGTTTACCTACCTCCTGTAAGCTAAAAGCTTGTGTTGGTGGTAGGGAGGTATTACATTTACAGATAAAATAATAAAATTAGGTAATTTCTTATAATTCTAAATACATTAATTTAATTGATAAAACCACGTCATTGTGTAATATTGTCTAAAGATGTAATAGCTAAGGTATGCAGTAATAAGAAATAATGCATTTTAAACACAAAATTAACAAAATTATTACAAATTGAAAGTTACACAATCACTATAATGTGTGACCCAGGTGGCACTTAAAAAAATCGATACTTTTTAACTGTGTTAACTGTTGAGACAATATTTTTTAAGATTTAAAAGTTAAATATACTGTTTTTTAACTACCTATTAACTCAAGTAACTTAACGTTCTTAACGTTGATACTTAATTCAAGTGAATTTCTTTCATCATCTTGCCCACATTTGATTATATACATACATACGTGATCTAAGAACCCCTGTTCTGAATAATTATGATGATACATCGATACATCATACACAAATAAAAGTTATTCTACGTGCCATTGTAAATTTGTAACAAGGTTTCGGGATCATCGTCATCGTAGCCGCCCGATATTACCTATTAAAAATATCATTGTGCGGCCGAGGCGTATATTATCATTATGTAGTTGAACAATAATAATTAACGTTCACGGTTAGACGATATGTTATTTTGTTTATTTATTATCACTATAGGTCGATCCGTAGCATTGAGACTAATGAACAACACCTAATAAAACAAAAAACAAAAAAAAAACAAAGGCCGCGGATATGATTCACAGAGACCAATACCTACATACAGACACTTAAAATAATCGCAGATTGAAATCCCTGAACGTATGTCGAACAATAATAGAAGTATGAAGGTATAAGTATGTGTACAACCTCTCAACAGGCTAGAAAACATTTCTGAAACACACACATATTGTATCAGACACAATGCGTTGACGTTATAATATTATTGTGCATAGTAGGTATATATATATATATATACATACATTCGCATGTACTATATATCAACACATTTCTTATAATATGTATACCTACACACACTCACATATATATATATATATTATTATATATGACGTTGTTTATGTAAACTATTGAAATAATGTCAAAATGTATGCTATCAAATGATAGTACCTACATAATTATATATCATAATGTTTATGTGTATAGTGTGGACACAGATAAGGTACCCATTGTGAGTTGTGACCATATACTATATTGGTACATCATCTGTACCTCACTATATATGTACATTAATTGGCACGTGATACTATAATATCAACCATAATAATTATTCTACATGGTAAGTGTGACCTTAGCCCAGTGAATCATGGTGTATATTATATCACAGCCAGGTGCAGTATATATAGGTACCTACTGTTAAAGGTACACGGCGCATAGTCACAATATAATGCATTATCATATATCTATATTGTAAAATTTACATCGACTATTGTCATTTCAATTTTTAATTAAACGTAATGTATTATTATTATGCACTTGAATCATGCAAAAATATCTCACAGTTTTCTATATATTATGTATAATAAGGTCCTGGCCAACACGTAGGCGAGTCCGTATGCCTGCATGCAGTATCATATATAGTCATATATCTAGGTGTTATATCGAGTATAACAATACGTATCTATAATATACTACGCCTATGTATGTATATTTTATGCATATATTATAATATGTTATCATACTATAATAATATAATGGTCATATACATAAGTATCCGCAACATCATATACATAATAATATATATTGTATTGTATATTCACCACTATATTATTGCACAATCTGAAGGATTTGTCATTTTAAAATAATCCTAACTTATACAGATCCAAGAAAACCAAATTAATTTATTACATTATTAAATAAGGCCTTGATGGTTGCATTAAAAATACGTATAGACGAAATCTACATCTTCATTGGTATGAAATACGTAAACATTTAAATACAATATAAGTAAGTATAGTAAATTAGTAAGGTATAACTTTTCTAGGAAAAATATGTATATACAATAATATTAATGTTAGTTATTATATCCTAGCTCTCTGTTGATTATAAATCAGCTATTATAGGTATCGATGGTGCAAAAACAAAAATTAAAAACTCGAAGTTTTTGAAAAGTTTTGAAATAAAATAAACAAAACAATTTATAATAAACAAATAAATAAGGGTTACGACTTACGAATAAAATATATTTTGGTTATTTATGGATTAAAAAAAATAATAATTCTACATAGATTTGAAATGTTGACTGATTATCTACCTATTTCTGCATAACAAGGCTTTTACGTTAAATAATTTTCCCGAATTTTTTTTTAAATAAACATATAATTGTTATTATTCCTTGATTCGGTCAGAATTTAAAAGAAAAAATTATTAAACTAGTTTTTAACATTTATTAAGTATCTAAAAAATAAAATAAAAATTGGGTATGTAATATATATGCCTACAATAAAACGTCCTTGTAGCCGAATCGCTCTTAACCAACTGATTTCTTCATTATAAAGGAGTTTTTGTTTTAGGGAGACTAAAATAGTATAATTTTTCGACTTGTAGGGAGTCCGTTATAACTCAAGAATAAATTTTACTGAATACATATTGCATATACCTATTTCAACCGAGATTGCTAGACATGGTAGTCAGATAAAAATCATTTCTTTAGTTTAATCTACGTTAATATAAATATAGTTAAGCAAATTTTTGTTTGTGATAATATGTCCACGATCATTGGTTTGGAAGATGTGAAATTTATTTTGAAAATCCAGTAGGTACTTATATAGTTAATATTAATTTACAAACATTTTATAATTTCGCAAAATTGTCCGTGTATATAATAAATACTAGATCAAATATTAAATACATTATATATAATTATTTTTATTTATGTAAGACTTTTGTTTAAAAATGTATCCAACGCCTAAGTATATAAATTATAAATTGAAATAGGTAACTCAAAAACTACTCGTTTGAATTTTGATAACATTTTCAAAAAAAAATCTGCTTGAAAATTTCCATAGTTTAAAAGGTCGGTATCGTAAGTTTGTATCGTCGTAGATGACACTCCTTAAATGATATAAAAATCGAATTAATTGAGATTTGAGAATATTTGCATTAAATATATCTACTTAAAATTTAAAAAAATCAGTACTTTAATAAATGCAATGAGCAACTATAAAATGAAAAAAAGGGGTGAGTGAGCTCGGTGAATCACTGTACTTAATAAATATGTGTTGAGACGGTAATATTTATTACCGATATTGTAGCGAAAATTATTATCTCGAGGTCATATTGCAAACGGTGATATTCGTAGGTATTTCCATGTCGTAGATATTATATTATTATAATATAAAACTAACGTCAAAAGGACGGCGGCGAATCGGCAAGTAGGACTTATTACATTAGTACATATAATATTATAATTTATATTATACCAGCTATACCTACACACGTTATGCCGGTTACCGGTTTGGTTTTTGGCAACGTTATAAAATTCGCCATAAACACAGTACGCACGCGAAAAAGGCATATCTACCTGTATATAGGTATGCGTGTATAATATCGTAAGACACGACACACGCAGCATGGGCGCCGTGACCTTGGACGACCGCCGCTCGCGACCCACGTGAACCGCGGCGGGCTCATCACTACCGTCATCATCGTCGTCGGCGTCGTCGTCGTCATCCGCCCGTACGCGACTGTGCGAGGTTCAGTCTTCAGTAGACGTCCGCACATTCGAACCGCAACATGACGCGAATCTCGATCACGTTGCCGGTGCTCCTGCTGCTGGCCGCCGCCGCGGCCCGGGCCCAACAGCAACAGCGGCAGACGCCTTTCCTCACGGAAATATTCCCCGAACAGCTCGAACAGCAGCAGCTGCAGTCCCAGCTGAACCAGGTGCAGGTGGAGTTGCAGCAGGTTCAGCAGGCGCTCGAGGCCAGGCCGCAGGATCCGGAACTCCGGGATTCGCTGCTCCAGCAACAAGAACAGTTCGTGCTGGCGTTTCGAGACATCCAGCGGCAGCAGCTGGACCTCCAGCAGAGGATACAGGACAGGCTCAGGGGGGTGCAAAGTGCACCGCAGGCGCAGCCCGTCCAGCCGCAGCCCCAGCCTCAGCCGCAGCCGCAGCCGCAACCGGCCCCACAAATCGAGGGACCGTCCAGGAAATCACCGAACGTCGAGGGATCGTGCAAGACGGCCAACGGTGAGCCGGGAACGTGCCGGCCGCTAGTCAGTTGTTTGTCGTTTTACGCCGAACTTCCCGGACTCAAAAAACAACCGTGCAAGTTGGCGGTCAACGAATTCGGGGTGTGTTGTCCACCGAAAAACCGTAATCCAGGTAATATATTAGGAATTGGGATAACATTATTATTATAAGGATATAATTATAATATAATAATATATTTATAGACACTACCTATTATAATGATTAATGACTACAATAATTAAGACTATTAAGTATTATTATGTGTTCGCATTGTTTTGGACTCAAATTCTCGTTTAAAATGCTGAACTTCAAAAATCACGTCACTCGCGTTCTAAGTTTCCGTCATCTCTAGTTTGCTGAATAACAATCTCGTTTTGTTTTTCAAATTCTAAGATATATAGCTTCATTGAGATAACATTTAGTAGGCGTTATTATTTTAATTTTTACATAAAAATACTGAAAAAAATATTTAATGAAACCCTTGAGGATGACTATAAAAATAATCTGGAAATCAAGAATACAATTTAAAATGCATTTTATTTATATCTAAACTATCATTTAGAAAGTACATACCTATAGTTATTAGTTATTACAAGGGTTTTCTGCGAAATCTAGCAAAAATTGTTATTAAATATGCATAATATAATTAATAATAATAATAATAAATGCAATTTTATGCCTTTTTCTTAAACAAAAAAAACACCAATTACATGTTCGTATAATATTGTAGTCGGATGTGAATAATAATAATGTATGATATAGTCTTTTTAATTTTGTAGATTATTCATATTGTAGTATAATATCAGGGCCGTTGTTATGGGTAGGCAGTGCTGGTATTTGCCTAGGACCTAGGGCCTAGGATCTCGCAATTCGCTCTTATATTTTGTATTGAATTATTACTTAAAATTATTACATTTTCTTAATTGTTGTATTGATTTTTTTTTTCTACAATGTACATTAGTATGAAGAAAAATATTATGCTGTTGAGTTTTAATTTATATTGGTAATTTCAGTATAATTTAAATTTAATGCAGTCCTTGCCTAACCTTACAAGCATTGGAAATTACAATAAAAGCTTGTACTTATTTTCCTAATATTTCAATCACACTTTGAACCATTTTGACGATTTCAGTTAGATACTCCTGACTTCTGAGGGATCATTCTCAAAACTAAAGCTCATAAAAACATATTTGAAGAATACAACGACGCAAATCAGACTATCTGGATTAGCAATGCTATCAATAGAAAACGAAATAGCTTCAGAACTAAACTATGTCTCAATAATTTAAGCTTTTGTAGTTAAAAATACAGTAAAAAAGTTTTAATTTTGTATCATGATCAATCATATTTTGCTCTTAATTAATAATTGTTTCATACGGCTAAATAATATAACATGAGCAAAATATGTATAATTTATTCATTTGAAATGTATATTATGTTCTTTTTGAAGTTTAACACTTTAATTGCATTTGTGGTTAAAGAAACTTATTTTTTTCTTTTAAATGTGTGTATATACATATAATATGAACTACCTAGATGAAGATGTCCAGACTGGCTGACTTACCACAATAAACTTTGCGCAACTACCTGTTGGATTTAATTCCTCAAAGATATTATAATTATGAATTTTCGGTCAGAGACGCAGGTATACAGTCCAAGATAATTCAGAGGTCTAAGCTCACTAAATCTTAAACGCTATCCACGCTTTTGCTATTCATAGTATTATTGACAGGAAATCTCATTGGTTTTGTTTTACAGTAAATAATGGGGCCTTGCAAATTAAGAAATTGCCTAAAGCCTCACATATCGTAACGACGGCCCTGAATAATATATTTGATATATTAACTCTTCGTCTCTTCACCATTTAATACAAGTTATAGAGATGAAAGCTGCGATTTTCTATTGTTGTCTAATACACTCACCAGTCGTAATAATATATGAATCTAAATGTGTTCTGTTTCCAACGTACTGATTGAGTAAATTAATCAATACGAATTCTATAACCAGATTTGAATTTATCACCTTTTTTAAAACACCTTTACCACACTTTTTATTCTTTTCGTAACATTTTTTTTTACTTCTACTTTTTAATATAAATATTTTAGAGTTTAGGAGGATACGGTCAATAAATGTGGGAAAGACAATCTCTAAAAGACTTGACTAGAAATTTAAATTTGTTTTAAAATTGTTTACGCTTTATTAGTATATAAATATTATCCGTAAGTTTGAAATAAAACTTAAAAAATTTCTATGTTGCAGAAAATCACAGTTTTCAATATTTTTAACATTTATAAATTATTAGGTCCTTGTACCTATATATTTTTGATAGGTAGGTACTTCATATTTTAATAAATCATTAACGCAAGTATTTAATTGATATCGAAAATAATTACTTTAAGTTATTCGACTTATAATTAAATATTATATTAACTGTAAAGTATAGGTAATTACTTTGAAGCCAATGAATAATATATAGGTACTAATATTAATATTAAATTATTCCACCTACTTACTACCAACGTCATAGTCGTCATACGTAATTATTTTTACATAATTTTATTATTAAAATAACAAGAACATAATATTATTATACAATTTAACATTTAATAGTATTAAATAATTAATAATGAATATTAATACTCACTCATATTCACTTTTCAAAGATTGTTAAAATTGTTTGAAAGACTCAAAGACGTGTTTGGTAAAATAGATAAATAAGTAATTTGTTTATCACAATATTTATTATATATACAGAAACATTGTTTGCAGCGCCATAATTATTAAAGAGATTGTTAGTAGGTATTTACTGTACACACAGTCTTGTCAAATTTTTATATTTAAATGACAACATTTAAAGTTTCACAAAATGGTCTATACTTAGTATTTATAAAATATTGTCAAGGTTAGGAACAATTAACAATAAATCAATTTGTTTATACATCAACGCAAAAATATCATTTCAACACATTGTTTACTTTCGTTTTAACTAATTTAAAATTAAAACATAAATGGAACAATTTTAACAAAATATTGTAAAACCCCTAAAAATGCACAATCATTATTGCTCGTGATTATTGCGTTCTCTACGGTTTCATTAACAATGGCAAGGCCTGAGTCGGAAATGACGAATATGCAAATATTCGCCGAGTATCAAGGACCCACGTTGCAGCAGCAGACCGACGAGTACGCAATAATTGGTCTTTAGGAACGCGGTTTTCTATTAAATTTAAAATTACACAGTCATCGAAGTATAGCTTAATATAGGTATTGGTAGTATAGTAGCAACTATAGGTGTAAAGCTGTAAGTAGAGGCAGGTTACACAGTAGCTAGGTCTCCATATATTTACCGCCTGTGTGGCTGTGTTACCCACGCACACGCATCCGGATTATCTATAAATACACACTGCAGACACCTATTTATTTTTATTTTTTATTTATTTATTCTTCGAGAAGATAATGGACCCAACCGAACTGCGTGTTTACCTATATAATATGTAAAACGGGCGCGTTTTTAGAGTTATTGCAATAAAAGGCGTAGGTATAGTTGTGTATAAATGATAATATGTGGAACCCGAACAGAGGAAATAAATAACTCGTGTTAAAGTGGGCATAATATATACGTGTTTGTTCAGGAGTCATTGATCTACGGATTCACTGATTGCCGCACAGTAATAATTCATAATAATATAACTGGTCCCAAACGGGTTTCGCATGCTAATGAGCTCTAGGGCGAGTATATCGCATACACGCATATAAGACACAATGATAATATAATGCATTTACTATTACATAGCTCCTCGTTTATAATATTGTGTGCGATTGCGACCAAGCCCGCATTAAAAGTGTCGAGGGGTAAGGGGTGGACAGTGGACACGATCCCAAGAACAACACATATAAGGGGCTGATGCCTTTCCATAAACATTATGTTGAATCGCAGATTCAAAAAATAATAAATGTTAGTACCATGAATAACTATTAAATGATAAATTCATAATACATTTTATAAATTGACTCATTAATATTAAATATTAATAATAAGATAAAGTACAGCCAGTAGGTATAGGTATACAAATTAGCGAATATGGAAGTTGTAAACAAAAGTATTTATACATTATAATATGCTTTATTTTTATTATGACGAGTTGTCTGTCGTTATTTATTCGTAAATATATGTATGTATAGATATATAATAATATACTTCATTTTGATTTTTAGTAATCTTATTAATTATTTTATTTTTAAATGGTACAAAATGACATAATATAACCGTAAAAAATGTAACATTTATCACAGAAGAGACTAGTGAGAAAAACGGTTAAAATTAGAAAAATAATTTTTAGAGGCCGAATCCTTATCGAATCTCACAGAGTCTTAATCTGGGTTTGATCGCGTATTGCAGGTCTCTACTCATCACAGCCGCGATTAATTAATATTATATTAGTAATTAGGGTGGCAAGGATATCGTATTATTGTAATATAACGATTAAAAATCTTTTTGAAACTTTTTCTCGGAATCCGCGGTGTCGTACATAAAGCCAACAACCAACAGACGGCAGCTGCAACCACTGTTACTGGCGTGATCAGGGCACCGCCACCGCCGCCCGTCGACATACCGCCGTTCACGCCGGAACAGTTGAACATTGCCGCGACAAACGCCCTGCAGCGCCTCAACGAGCGACGGGTGCTTGTCACGTCGCTGTTCACGAAACGGATACTGGTGCCCACTGGCAGCGCCGCGGCGTGGCACCAAGAGCTTTTCCCGACCACCAACGAGACCCTCAGCCAAGGGGAACAGGCACAGAAATCCGTGGATGCCAGCGTGGGACTCGTAAACGAGTAAGCATTTGTTATTATGGATTCTGATTTGGTGCAACCTTTTTTTCGCCCAAAACCTATCATACTTAATGGACTAGTGGAACAAGCTAGGTTCCTCATTAATTGTTCTAATAGCTATATTAAACTATGTATTTTCACATGCACGCAATTTGTTTAATTTGAATTTATTATTATAGTCGATAGAGGCATTGATGACGGGAAGGGCATGATCTATATTGCGCAATATTAACAATAATAAATTATACATACCATAACATGATATTATATATTAATGCGATAGAATAACGTAGTTTGATTGTGATTACATTGTGCTCTTATGCTGTACGTATATTTGTATTTATGTTTTATGCTTATACCTACATACTTAACTCATTGTTTGTCTTAGCCCTTTGAAATATTACCTGACCTATATGTTTTTAATTATCGGATGTAGGTAAGAGTTTCAACCTATAATTCTTGTGCATCCTATATTTCTGTATATATTACTGATCATCGGGTATGTGTATAAGAATCATGATGGAGACGAATTTAAAAACTAATGAATTATTTATATAAAATAATCGTTAAATGAAGTCTGAGACGTGTTGTGACGCCTACTTAACCCTGACTAGTTGACTGCGACTATTACATTTTAATAATTATTTAATAAGTTCCTTTCGTAATGATGGAATATATATAATTACACGAACACCTGAAGGATTTTTGGCATTTAATATAAGTTGAAAAAGGTAAAAAGTAAAAACTATACACTTTATATTATGTATTTTTAAAGATATAATTAAGAAAAAAGCAAAATTACATTTTATTTGACGCATCGACGCGATAATTTACTCGCATTTACTTAGATGATATTGGCTAATGACATATAACTATGAATTATGATTTATGAGATACATAGTTCTACTAATAATTCATACATGATAAATCCATGTAAAATATAGTGATATTTCATATAAGTATTTCAGTGTTTGTCTACTTATAACTAGTTAGTAATTACCTATTATCTATAACTCTATAAGTTGTTAAAATTGAAAAGTTTACTAACTAGTTTTTATCTTTGTATAGTTTTAATTTATCACGTGATCAAGGTACGTTTGCCTTACCAAGCTTCAGCATTCTGGACACGGTACTTGGTGACACTTGCCCCAGGACATCATTTTGTCAACCTCATAAATATAGATCAACCGATGGGTCTTGTAATAACATCAAACACGAGCTATGGGGGCGAGCTAGCACGGCTTTACAGAGAATTCTTCCTCCAAAATACGGAGACGGTAAGTACCCACAAAATTTTTTAATAAAACATTGTATGTCTTGTAATCAGTAGAAAAATATCTATTTTTCATAAACAGGTTTTGTACTTATAACCATTATAATAATTTAAAGTTTTAATTTTTTAAATAATACAAAAGTAATTATTTTATCACATCATTATTAATTTTATATAATATTATATAGGTATAGTTACAAATTAAATAAACATAATAAAAAAATGATTATTTTAATGATTTGTTACAATTTAATGGCCCACAATCATGGGCCACTAAACATGCCTAGAGACAGTGGTAGATTCAACCATTATTAGGTTAGGATAATAAAAACATCAATTTCGTAGGTAAATAAATATGTTACTGATACATTTTGTTCGAGGCCCCTCGTAAGGGTGAAAAAAATTTAAATATTACACAGTAAAGCATAAATCTAAAAGTTAAAAAAAAATTCAAAGAAAGTTAAATCTTGTTGAGATAATTAGTGTACCCTCTTAAATGGGTCACCCTATATACCTATTCAAAAATATGGCTGCGGGTTCGGGATTAGCTATTATGAAATAAAATGAATCAAAAACCTTCAATTCTAATTACTGTCTATACGGGACACGAGAATAGATGAGTAGATATAGATGATACTACGATAATTCAGATAGTATCAGAGACTATAATATAAGATAATAAGATCTAAAACGTACCTACTACCTAGGTATCTAATATCTAATGCTATATAATTTGTATTAAAAATTAATACTGGCTTTTTAAGTACATAATTGTGCGTTCCCTGTTTTCTATACGAAACTTAGGTGTGAACTCACCGAGATCGAGAGCAGTCAACGGGTCACCATTGCCAAGTGCGAGACAAGTGAGCGTCACATTCACGCAAGACGTGGACTCGCCATCTGAAAATTACACAATGTTATTGATGCAATGGGGACAATTCTTAGACCACGACACGACGCACACACCCATAAGCAGAGGTCAAATGGGTAGCGGGATATCGTGTTGCAGGAACGGACGAGAAATCGAAAGTTCTCTACGCCATCCGGATTGTTTCCAGATAGAAATCCCCCGTAACGATCCCATGTTCGCACCATTCGGTGAGAGGTGCATGGAGTTTGTCAGATCCCTGCCGGCGCCGCGTCCCGAATGCAATTTCGGACCTAGGGAACAGGTAAAAACTGTTTAAATAGAGAAATGCCTACATACTATAATGCAAACTCGATATTAAAAATATGGATGATGCGTGTTATGTTTTCGTCGTTAGATGAACCAAATCACCGCTTACCTTGATGGGTCCCATATTTACGGGTCTTCGCTGGTCACTCAGCAAAGCCTCCGAACTTTCCGAGGCGGTACGCTGCAGTCGCAAAATATCAGAGGAAAGCAGCTTTTGCCGGGAAATCCTTCAGAGTGTTCCGATGATACGGGCAGATCTGCTTGCTTTAAAGCGGGTAGGTATAGACGCTAGGTCTTAACTAGTTTTAATTTATACAACATACTTCTTGCACAGGCGACGGACGAGTAAACGAACAAATAGATTTAGCTCTATTGCACACTATCTGGCTACGCGAACATAATCGTATCGCTTTCGAATTGTCCCGACTGAACCCTCGTTGGAGCGACGAAGCAATATTTCAAGAAACGCGGAGAATAATAATTGCTCAGTTGCAACACATAACCTATAATGAATTTTTGCCAATCATTTTAGGTAAGATTACCTTCTTACCTATTTGGAAATCCAACCAAATGTAATACGCAGTTCTAACAATTTCTCTGGTATAGGTAGAAGTTATATGGCCAAGTTTGGGCTATCTCCAGCAGAAAGTGGATGGACAAGGAATTACGATCCAGAGTTAAACGCTGGAATAACCAATGCCTTTGCGGCCGCTGCTTACCGATTCGGTCACACGCTTATTCAGGGAAATATTCAGTAACTAGATTTCTAGACGGAGTGCAATTTTATTCGAGTGTAAACTAATGAAATGTATAATTATTTCAGTGGCTATGGAAAATTTGGTAACATTAGAGAAAATCTTGTACTCAGTAAACAGCACTTTGCACCATTTAATTTGTATAAAGAAGGTGCTTTAGATGACTTTATCAGAGGAATATCTTTCCAAAGTTCTCAAAACTTTGATAGATTCTTTACTAAAGAAGTAATTAGGAAAAAGTTCTAAACACTAATCACACATTCTAACCCTACTTCCTGTATTTTAATTGTACATTTTATCTTTAGATCACTGATCATTTATTCCAAGGCAATCTAAATTTTGGACTTGATCTAGTAGCATTAAATGTACAAAGAGGACGTGACCATGGTTTACCACCTTACAATGAATGGCGACAAGTATGTGGATATGAAAAGGCAAGAAACTGGAACGATTTAGAAGAATATATGGATCCACAAGTATGTTAATATACTCTTATACTAATATTCAGGGTATGAATTTATAAAGCAAATATTATATTATAATTTATAATATACAAAATTGTGCAAATAAATTAAGTACCTTAAGTTAAGCTTGAAAGGTAGGTGGTTAGTTATAAATACATAAAAATCAACTTTTTGTACAGCCTTATCCATATTTTTTCTACAAATTATGCAGTAAAATAATATTAAGTATGTAGGTAGGGTATCCATTTAAATGCATAAGCGAAATATGGCAAATACATTTTTTTACTAAGAATATATAATTTAAATGAAGTATCTAATTTTTCACTTCTTATTGTTAGTTCAGAATTAAATTCACAGGTACAAAAAAATCAATTAATTCACTATCGTGATAATATATTACAATTTCATAGAATATTATCATCAATGTCAACAAAATTTTCTTTGTTTCAGACTATTACTAGACTTGCAAGGTTGTACGGTTCAGTAGATGAAATAGACTTATATATCGGAGGAGTTTCAGAAAAGCCGATGAAAGATGCTTTGGTAGGCCCAACTTTTGTGTGTATCATTGGAGATCAATTTTCTAGGCTTAGACGTGGAGACAGATTTTTCTATGAAGAAGGTGGTCATCCATCTTCTTTTGATCAAGGTAACTAAATTTAACATTAGCAATTGTGTAGAATGCATTTGTATTGTATAGCTAATACAATTATTATTTTAGTTCAACTGCAAGAACTCAGAAAGAGTAGTTTAGCAAGATTATTGTGTGATAATTCTGATGATATGGCCCTCATTCAACCATTGGCTTTTCTAAAACCATCATTCTTGTAAGGATTTTTATATTTTTAAATAATACCTATTGGCAGGCAATCCATATCTATATAACTAATACTTGTTGTGGTCTACAGGAATCAAAGAGTAGCTTGTGCAAGTTCATCTATACCTAAAGTGGATTTAAGAGCATGGGCTGGAGAAAAAACAGCAGTACCATAATCTTGAGATTCTATTAACTTCCAAGCCTATCAGATTATAAAATTGTTATGCAAAGATGGGATTAAAAAACAACTAATGAACAAAAATGTATGGTATTCATTTGTCATAAATTGAATATTAATCACTGTAGATTATAAAAATTGTAAATAAACTTATGAAAAACATTCAAATTATATTAATTTACAAATGATTATAAATATTTTAATATTCAAACTATATACTCCTCATTGATTTTCATCTTCATCAATTTGCTTGGAAAATGATTTCTTTTGAACTGGTCTACATTCTGGATATTTATCAGTCAAAAAGCTCCTTATTTCACCATACTCAGCCAGTAAGTTATATTTTGCCTGATAATAAAAGAATTGATAAAAAAAAATAATTGAATTATTTTGACAAATCTATTATAAATAATAAATAAATAACATTTATTCTATTTTCAACTGTACCTTGTCCATGTTTCTAACAATTTCAATCTTTTTCTCTTTAATATACCAATGAGTCTTTTTAGTATAAAATGGTAAAGATTTCTTCTTCCGCAACCTTACTTTATTATCCATAACATACTGCAAAAAATCAGGAGCTTCTTTAGGATCTGTTTTAACAGGTCCTTTTGGGGATGCTACAATTACTGGTAAGTAATCATTTTCTTTTCTAAATTCTACAAGGTGATAATTTGTTTCATCAGCCAATTGTTGATGAGTTTTCTGTAAACAATAATTTACTTTTTTAAGTTTAAATTGAATTAATTTTATCAAACAAAATAATAGGTTACTTAAAATATAAATGCAGGGCTTGAATTTTTATGTATTCAAACCCAAAACATGTAAGTATGTACTAAAATTGCTAAATGTATTAATATTATTAAGCAATTTTGAACACTGTAGAATTCTGTATACATTTAAAAATTGCAAAGTATCTCAAAGTATTTCAAGTATATCCTAAATACTGATTAGTAATAATTATTAAAATATAAAATTGTTTAAATTATTGAACATTTTTAAGTACAATTATAAGTTGGTGAATTGTATGTAATAAATAAATATGTATTTAGATATATATGATTAATCAAAACCTTAAGTATAACTAACCTGTTTTAATAATCCCAAAAAGAATGCTTTAACTACATTTTGTAAATTGGTAGAACCTTCTACCTTGGCATACAAGTCTTTAATACCAATCATTTCACAAATTGTTTTTATAGCACGATGGCAAATTAATCCATGACCTTCAGGTCTTTTCTCCACAAATATTCTAGTGTTACAGAATTGTGTAAAGAAATCATGATACACGGTATGATTATTATACCGTTCAATATACATTAACTTTTGTCCTGCTCTATTTTTAGCCCGTCTTAGTGCAGCTCTTGAATCAGCTGCTTTGCCTAAAGCAAAACCAGCTAAACCATTTTTATTACCAGTTACAGTAACAACACTTATTCTTCTATAACGACCAGCATTAGCTTTCATACAAAACACAGTTTTGAATTCTAACACTTTAGTATCAAAGCCATCAAAGTTATCTGTTCATAAAAATAATTAAAAAGTATAATATTTAATATATACATATTGGGGAAAATTATATTGAAGTCTGACAACTATAATAGTACTAACATTCATTTATAGAATCCGGTGGTCCTATACTACGTCCAGGCATTTTGGAACCAGACCATCCACGTTCAGTTGGTGAGAGTCTTAACATTTTAAATGAACCCATTGCATCTCTAAGCTTAACAAGGCGAGCTTGTCTTTCAGGATCTGGTGGTAACTTAGTTCTTTTTATTAGATCTCGCCCTTTAATTATAGGAGCGTTGAGTCCAGGCCATATCATATTGTCAACACCTATTATTAAAAAAACATATTTTATTTAATGTAAATAAATATGTGATAGAAGCCTAACATTCTAGATTTTTAAATTTTATTATTATTTATTTAATTAATTATTCTTCAAGAATATAGTGGGCCCCGCTGAACATATTTGTGTGGGGTCTCAATTATATATGATCAATATCTATAACAAAGTTTAAATTTGTAATCATATATACTCTGCCTAACACAAGAGTAACTACAAAAGCACCATGTCTGTAGAATTCTTTGAAATGCGTAAATGGGCATGGTTAATGAGTGTCAAATTAATGTAATAGAGCATCACTCAATTATTTAAATAACTATTTAGCTTGCCTTTTGCTAATTCACATAGTTAAGTAATTATTTAGTACCAAATGATGAAAATTGATTTACCAAAGGGAGTAATCTGACCGAAAATTGGTTGCTACCTTAGATTATTCTTATCTATATAAGACTATGAGAGTACACTGATTAAAATGGCTACTGACAAAAGATGTATTTACTTTAAACATAGTTAATAAGATAAGCCCATAAACAAATAAACTTTATTTGTTAATTATCACTTGGTTAAATTTTAAGAACATATTAATATTATTGACTTAATTTAATAATTCACAAATTAAAAGCAATAGATACTTGCCTACACCAATGACTTGTCCTCTATTAAGATTTTTTGCTCTTTTTTTACCAGCACCTTTACCACGACCACGTTTTTTGCCAGCATTACTTACACTTGTGACACTTTTCCAAATGTGTTCAGCCGTATCTAAAAATTAAATATATTAACACCTAATAAAAAGATTGAAAATGATGATTTTCATTATTCATTATTAAAACAGATACATAAGTATAGTATTGAAATAATATAATAAATAGATTATAAATTGTGAGGGAAAAACTATTAATGATACTTACGTTTTTTAAAAAAACTTTCATGACGCACTTGCTGAACACATACAGATTGAAACTGTATTACTCTAGTCTGAGGCACAATTAAACTTCTATAACATCTAGTACAATCTTTCAAAATGTCAGGACCTATAATTTAATAAATGTACAAGGCAAAAATATAATATATATTTTACCCTATATCAAAGTCGATATCTAATAGTTAATAATTTATATTACAATTTACTTACGTTTGATAGAAACCACACTTTGAGCAATATTAATACTCTTAGGAGAAAGCAGTCGCTTCAGCATAGACGACATCATTTTATTAGCAAATATAATATTACCATAGTGTTTTAGTATAAAATTATATAAAAATCTATCTTTTAGAATTAAAAATAGGATATCGTACGCAAGTCACAAGCCGCCACCCGGCCACCAGAGTATAATCTTCAATAATGTTCTTCATTTTTCAATCACACTATCATTCGATAGATTAAATGATAACAGACCGGACCGCTTATCAGCCACAGTGTAGATTACTCAGTAACTTACTACCACGGTTGTATTGTTCTGTTGTTATATGGTTGTATGATTGTAGCCCACTTCGTGTAGTATTTCGACTAAACTATTTGTTATTACCGATGGTACAAAATAATATCGTACGCATTATAATGTAGGTAATAATAATATATAATATTGTTCTGTGGTAATGTATAACTTTTTATTCGGTGTTAAATTATTGTAAGCTTCTTATTATAATTTCGTGACACCCAGGTTGCCCACCGGCCACCACAGGTCTATTTTATTTATCTTTTAGGTTTTTTGTTTCAATAATCGTAGCTGTTTACTAATAGCTGATATTACACAATTAATTATTTATCGAATATATAATAAATATTTCATCTATTGTGTTATCGTAAAAAAATCAAAGTTTCATTGTTTTAAAAACCTAAAATATAAATATATATCGGCAATAACCATATCGAAGAATTGAAAACACGTACCGGTACCGCGGTGAAATTGAAATACGATTATAACATTGTAGCTAAATTGCCCATCTAAAACGCCGTGGTAGTAATTTTATTATTGAAATTTATTAGATAAAAATGTCTATTTACGACCATGAAATACCTAAAAAATGTTGAATGGACCCAATTGGCAATGATCAAAACGGTCAAAGCTGGGACGAAAATGCATTTCAAAATCGCTATACTTATAGCATCTTACAGGTTTTGAGCCTTTGAATATTAAATTATCATATTGTAAAGAAACAAAGTATCTCCATAAATGTTGGTTATTCGAATAGATCTCAGTGAGAAGTAGTATTTAATTTTATATTTATAGAAGAATATATAATATATAAATATATTATGTATTTTATGTATGTACATTATTTTTTCATTCAAGAGAACTAAATTACCTATTAAAAATAAATTACAAAAGTATTTATTACATAAACATAATATACCTATAAATATACTTAAATATCTAATCACTACATTACCTACATTCCTACAATCCTACAGTTAATTGATATAAAGAAAACTATGAACAGAAATATAATATAGTTAACACTATTAAATATAACACCATATTGTATCCATAATTAATGAGTCTGCAATGAACTATAAATTGAGTTTTAATCACCAAAGGACACATTAAACGTTTAAACTACAATTTATTATGGTGCTGAAATAGTTTGAAAATGAATAACGTCTGCGTTCCGTTATTAATATAACTGAAGTTTGCGGTGTTCTTACTACTCTTGTTACATTATTTTTGCTATCATAAATATTTTCTTATACCACGATATTATAAAGGTAATATTATATGTCTTGGTTTCTTGTATATATTTAAAATAATTAAGAACTAAAAAAAAATATTACATTCAAAGATGAATCTGCAACTTGGGTAATTAATTGTTTATCAACCGCACCCGGTTTCGCAAGCTCAATTGGTTATAATATAACTTGTTAGAACTGTATTCTTTTAAACCAGGGTATACAATTTTCTATTTTATTTACAACCCACTCATTTTTAGAAGTTAGATGGAAACTATTTGACAATAATTGGTAAGTTACCTAACCTAATATAGCAATGAAATCTGTGGATATTAATGGACCTTAAAAAATAAATATAAACCATTTTCGATTGACTTTCAAATATTCTGTGCAATTCGGCAACATTTTCAGCAACTAATAAAATCATAATATTTATCATAGAAATAACTAGTTATTTCCATATTCCATGACTTTGTATTTAGTTATGGTTATTTCTATCATCATGATAATATAAGTAATATAGGATTAGGATACATACTTCAAGTTAAGAGGACGTGATACCTGCATGTGTTGTCTCTGTCTTACAAGTGCGTAACATAGTAAATTGTACACTCATCAGAACACGTGTAGCTCCGTTAATTTAAAAATTAAAGTGAATTGACCTCTTATAAAATCTAAAGGTAAGATTATTATCTAGGCAACCTCATAGGCTTTTTATTATATTTTTATTTTAACGCGAGTTATAAGTATTTTAAGATGTATAAAAAATTTACAATTTCAAAATACTCATAACTCGCGTTAAAATTAAAATATAATAAAAAGCCTATGAGGTTGCCTAGATAATAATCTTACCTTTAGATTTTATAAGAGGTCAATTCAATTTAATTTTTAAATTAACGGAGCTACACGTGTTCTGATGAGTGTACAATTTACTATGTTACGCACTTGTAAGACAGAGACAACACATGCAGGTATCACGTCCTCTTAACTTGAAGTTTGATAGTAGGTGAATTAACTCTAATATTAAAAGTAATAACACATGGTTGGTCCTGCTCTTAGATTATATACAATGAATAGGTAATGATTTAAAATGATCTAAGGTTCTACTCAACTTACATTTGGTATGATGAGCGTGGGTTTCAGTGAGAAAACAAAGTGTGCTGACGTCTACTTAAATGTGAACACAATATCGTTAAGAATCCGTTCTGGTAAAAGTGAAAAATATACAACTCTCAAGAAAGAATATTATCTACGTCTGGCATCATGGCAATATTTGTTTTCTCTCCTAGACCCACTCAAAATATACAGCAAACGCATTCATGAAAGATATTTTTTTTATGTTTTTTTAGTTATTTTAGAGGAAAATTTCCAAAATCAGAAATGTAAGAAAATTATATTTTTGAAGGTTTAACATATCGTCCGTTTTATATTTTATTGTCATTACTTAATACTATTATTATTTGACTTAAAAAAAAACTGATTAGAATGGATATTAAATTGTTTGGAGACAATATTTAGGCAAAATGATGAGAAGTTAAGTTTCAAATGTTTCAATGTTTTTTCTTTATCACTCAAAAGTTTCTGTGTGGGTGAGAACATTGGTTCCTGTTGGTTAAAAACGTATGTCTAACATAGATCTTAAACTATTAAGTTAAGTTAACCCTAAGATCTTATTTAGTATAAAATATAAATAGAAAAGACATAGAATGCCATACCATTCATATTTTATATTTATATTTAATATTCAATAGTCCACACCGATTTCTTTCACCGGACGGTCGCCCGTCGATACAGCGTGTCTGCACTCTGTAATGTACGAAATAATATGACAGTCAATAGTAGATAATATTATATTATTAGGTATACGATAAGTCTAATGTAATGGATAGACATACTATTTGGACAAATGACCAACTCTTATGGTAAAAAAAACCGGGAACTGCAGTATTGGACATTGGAAAATAATATTATCTACATTCATTATGGAAATATGGTAATTAGTACTAATTATTTATGTAGGTCGTAATTCGTAGATGACTAGAATAACTTGATCAAAATATCAAATTAATAATTATCAAAGTAGAATAATTTTAAAGTAAACAATATTATGTAAAATTTATGTTTAATGTTTTATTGTTTTTAAACATCAACGGAAAACAATCATTAGTATTTGGAAAAAAAGTGTGACCAACTTGTTTTGTTTGCAAATCACGACTTAATGAATTAATTTTAAATTTTTACGAGAAAAAAATAATTGTTTAATGAAAGTCAGAATTTCTAAATAAAACTGTGGTAGTGTGATTTGCGTATTTACCAACGAAACTCGTAAATTGATTTGTTTAAGACGGAGTTTCCTATGTCTATTGTTTCTTCAAACAAATGTATAGGATACATTGTCTTACGTAACGTGGCCACACTGCGAAGCTCGTTATCGGTCGTTGTCCCCCGGAACGGCTGTAGGCTTCCCGTTGCCTTCGCCTCGCCCTTTGCCAATGGATTGCTTCCATTGTTTACCCTCCTCAATCGTCACTTTTTAGATTTACGTATTTTTTTTTTAGTTTTAGTTTCCGTCGTTCCAAGTTTTTTTTAACTACTACACAGTTTATAGTTTTGTTTACCGATATATATATACCACACTTTTTAATTTTTGTTTCCTACACTTTTTGCTAGGTATAGTAAGTTTACCGGTTTTTTTAGTATGGCTCCGAAGAAGAGAGAAAAAGAACTAGATAAAAACCGAATGGATCACGCACAGGCTGATCATGAACTTTTCCTACAAGCATTTGAAAGTAAGTTAGAGTTGGTAATATTAGGTACTTACCTATTCTTGTTTTTTAATTGTAACTTCTATGTTTAATTTATTACTAATCACTGTATACTTGCTGATATTGTACTGTCTGTATTCCAACCAATTAAAATTAATTTTTGCAATATAAATAATTAACAATTCTATCAAATAAAATTAGTCAACTTAGTACATATTTTAATTGATTTGTTTTAAATTGATGTCTTCTGGAAGTTTCGTATAAATACCTAGTTTTGATTTAAAACAACATTAAATATTTTATCATTAGAATAGATAATTAATTTATGTACTGAAACTAAGGTTAATTTTAAATTTAAGGTTTGCCTATTTTATTTTTAAATATAAAAGTAGGTGACTAGATAAGCTTAGATATTTTCTTAATTTTTGGCAAAGTTGGTGTCTTTCGGAAAACTTAATTATGACCAAGTTCCAAAACAATTACAATCTGAGACGGGTTTTTAATAATCAATTAAGTAAGTCCAGTTGATTGTTGTAACTGGTAATATATTCAATAGCTAAATGTTATTAAAAAAAATTTTTTAAACTGATTTAGGTAAATAGATCTTTTTATTTTATAATTTTATTCATTTTTTTGGTTATTTTATTTGAAAACTTATGTTATTCCTTGGTACCCATTGAACCTATATAAAATTAAAGTTTGTGCATTTTTTTCTTTTCTTATAGGTAGGCAATAACATATAAATACCTACCTAATATTTAATATTAAATTTTTCTAGGTATTTGTTTTCTTATACTTATTTTTCTCTTCTTGGTTATTTATATATTTGCATATTATTACTATAATTTATATATCGTTACAATAATTAGCAAAAAATATTTTTCAGAACCCACCCAGATTTACAAATATTTAAGGAATCGTAGTTTGTTTTCGGTAAGTTTGTAAATATTATTAAACTAAGTATGTAATTTTTAATTATGTTAACAATATTAATTAACCTATAACACTAAAAATAATATGTTTTGCATACTGTAAAAAATTGTTATTTATGATAATAAATAAATAATTTTGATGAACTTTTTAATTATTAGAATATTAAAAGATATCGTAAACAAATAATAACAATTTGTATACATGCTTTATTTGGTTACTTACTTACCTATGTGTTAAATGTAATAAGCTAATGTTTAGTTTTGCATTGAATATTCATTCCATAGTTTTTTTTGTCTAAGTTACATTGTAAGACAAAAGTAATAAATTATTTGACTGTTTTCTGACCCTTGATATTGTATCGACCACACAATATTATCTATGATATAATTTAGAGTAAATATCTGAGGAGGACAGAACGAAGTAAATCTTTTTTTTTCTCAAATGATATATTTGTATTTTGTTGGCTGAAAGTTAAGGTACCCGAGAGAAAATTACTATGTCCCTCTCTTATACACTTTATAAATCTAAATTTATGTGTACTATATTATTATAATAACAATTAAAATTAATTTGTTACCTACACCACAATTTATCCAATATCGAATTGGTAAGGATAATTTATAAGTGTAGTTTATAAATATAAAGTATGATAAGATTTACCTTGAGCTGTCCAATGATATTTATACTTAGTTATAGTACCAACCAATTATGATGATATATTAATGTATAAACATATTATATACATTAATTAAGTTATTTTATTTTATTCTGAGAATGGATAACTATTTTACGTAATTTTAGAATTGATTTTTCTATTATTTATTACTTTTGTTTTAGCCGTTATTTTTAGTCAGAACTTTAAGTTACATGAGAGCAAATCGTCCAAGACCTAAACGCCCAAAAAAGAAATTAGATATTGATTCATTGCTAAACAATGTTGAAAATCAAGTTTATGAAAAGAAAACATTTAACAAACGATACTTGACAATAAGTTATATTGGATATTTTGATGATAAAAGTAATTTCATTATACTGGTTTCATATTTTTGTGTTGTAATAGTGTAATAATAATATTATATAATTTTTGTTTTGTTTTTTAAAAAAAAATTTACAGTGAACAATACAAATGGACCTGTTAAAATTGAAACTACACTTGTCAAAATATGTCACAAAAAACGGAAAGATGTCTGCCCATATACAATGGTAGGATAATATATTTTTTAGTATAATTTAACTATTTAATTTTATAATGTTTAATTATTTTAGGTCTCTTTTGGTTTATCATCTGTTCCTGTTAACCCAACTTGTTCTCAATTAACATCACAATCTCCGATAGTGTCTATTCCTGTTGAATCAGTTAATACTGCACTAGGACATGTATCCAAATCACATCATTTATTAGTAAGAGTTATAAATGTAATTTCAAATTCAGATTCTGAAAATACTGGTGAGTAAAATAATAATCTTCCATAAGTATCATTGTAATTCAAAGAAATTGCTGTCATAATTGTAGGTAATAAATAAAAATAAATATTGAATAATCCAATTCATTTTTTAATTTTTAAATATTGAATAATCCAATTCATTTTTTAATTTTTAAATGTTGAGTAGGTACACAGTTGTTTAAACATTTTTAAACGTTTCACCTAAAATAGCTTAACTAAGTAAAATCATTAAATATATCAATATATTTTCAAATTTACCAATGTGTTGTTAATTTATTCTATGAATTTATGACACATTAATTATGGAAATATAATATGAAAGAAACCATGTCAATTATTAATTTAATTACATCTCTTTTTATGTTTTAGAATAAATATTTTCATGAGGTTTAATTACAATTTTTTAAAGTATATTAAATTGATATTATGTAATTATTGCTAGAATAACAGTATACTCCACGCCACGAGAGAAGGTGGAGAGAACCCATTTCGCGCATTCAGACTGACGGCAGTGAGCATTACAATGCTCTGTTTCCCCCACATTATCCCTTAAATACTTGGGAAATGCGTGAATTTGAACACAATTTGGTTGGGACATGGGTTACTTTTCTCGTGTTGCGGAGTATAATATCCCATTTAAATGGTTAAAATGTTTTGACGCTGTAAAAAAAATAACATTTATTTAAGTTAAATTTATAATAATTTATTCCTCATATTATTTTGCCAAACTATAATATTTTGAATTGTATTGAATTAATTGTATTAATTATTTTATATGTATTTCAATTGGTATTAATTTTGTTTTAATTTTTTGACATGACATATTAATTTCAGAGCCAAGTCAGAAAAAAAGAAGGATGAGTATTAAAGAGGGTAATGGTATTGTTAAAAAAGAGATTGGTGCAAATTTAATTATTCACGACAAACAAAATAGATGTTTACTTAAAGATGGTGATTATGATTGTCTTATAGAAGAAATTAGTGGCGAAAGTCCCAATTTAACAACTGGAAAATCGTGTTCATGGGAACGCCTCAAAGTACATATACATCAGCCTTAATTAGTATTTTAACCCATTTAGGGTTTCTTTACTCTTAATATTGTTTATAACTTTAGGAAGTAAGAGCTGGACCACAATTTAGTGCATTTGAAAGTCGTAAAAAGATCAAGCTACGTTTAAAGTGGTCAACAGAACCTAATAGTACTGCTGTCGTTTATCCTCTTGTCGATAATAAAGAAAATAATTGGCCAAGTATTAAATATATATATACATTTAGTTTTTTGTTATAACTGATAACACATTTTTAATTCAGCTAATATTTTTTTAGCATCAAATTCCAGAAGAAGTAGTAGTGTACAAAATGCAAATGGTTCTCTGGATACTTCATCCAATAAGTTAAAAATAGTTTACCAATTCTTATATAACAATAACAGTCGTCAACAGACTGAAGCTAGTGAAGATTTACACTGCCCATGGTGCACATTGGATTGTTTTACATTATATGCATTACTTAAGCATTTGAAGCTATGTCATGCTCGGTTTACATTTTCTTATGTTGTAAGTTGTATTATAAAGTTTTTTAAGCTGGACTAGCTTTAAAATTAAAATGTACAGCCAACAGGATCTGGTGCACGAATTGATGTTGCAATAAATGAGCACTATGATGGTTGTTATATTGGTAGTCCACAAGATTTAATTGCACAACCACAAAGAGATGAATCCAAGAATGTTGGTTATCGTATTACTAGAGTTGGTCCTGTTAGACGTGCAGTTGTATCAAAAATAGTAGTTTGCCACCCAAAACGACTCAGGCGTGCTTCGTTATCTGAGTTTCTACATGAACTTGAAGATACTGATGGATATGATGGCCAAAGACCATATGTTACTGGACATAATAGGTAAATATAGATATCTTATATTATATTTATGTACACATTGTTGACAATCAGGAAATATCTGTGTGCCATCACAACCAAGTCAACTATCTGTACCCATTATGCCTGCCATGTAGTAATACCACACTAGAGTGCTGCCGAGTACAGTTCTTAATTTGATTAGACTATTTAAAAGGGTCACTGTTACATTTAACATGCTATAGACTCTTGAGTGTACCAACACCAACATCAATCTAGTTAATAGTTATTATGTTAGTGAATCATTATGGATTATGTATCAATGCAAACCATTTATAATTTGTATTATGCATTTTTTAAATGAATGAAGGAATAAACATTCTCTTATTTTTTTCCTGTATTCATTTCAAAACTATATAATAGATTTGCGTAATTTTTTTAAAATTATTTAAATTTTATTATACTTAATAACATATAAATACTATAGATTGCTCATTGCTGTTCAAAATCTGTTGCGATAAATTTACTAGCAATCCTGGTGTTGTTATCCAGAATTGAACGGGAGGTGTATTTTATAACCTGACCACCTTGTCAGTTTTGGATAACAACCCCAGAATTGCTAGTTAATTCATCACAACAGATTTTGTACAACAGTGAGCAATCTATAGTATTTATTATCATTGATAATAGATAATTTTTTTTTTTTTTTTATTATAAAAGCCGCTAGTACAACTATGATAGCTTGACAATTACATAATAAGAATAAAACAATATAAAATTTAGATTAACAGACAATTAAGTACATATATATACTATATAATAAAGCCAGCCTCCTGTATAAAGGCAAGAGATAATTTTATAAAATAACATTTTAACTTTCAGATTATATCATCATACATCAACATGTCTTCCTATTTATCCACGAGAAATGGATGTAGATAGTGAAGATGAAAGTGATCCTATATGGTTGAGGAAAAAGACTGCAATGATGATTGATGAATTTACTGACGTTAATGATGGGGAAAAAGAGCTCATGAAAATGTGGAATTTGCATGTTATGAGAGAGGGGTATGGGTGAATACAAACAATATATTATTATATTTATTAAATTTATTCACATTTAATTGTTAATAATTTGTCTTAATTATAAAAAATTTACTTTCAGATTTGTTGGTGATTGTCAAATATCATTAGCTCTAAGCATGTTTGTTGAATCTAAGGGTAGATATATCCTTAGGAATAATTTATATAGGAATTTTATGTTACACCTGTGCAACTTGTGTGATTTACGTCTTATAAGTCCAGTAACCTTCTATACAACCATACAAAAATTACAAGATATTTTAGCAATTGATTCAGAAGCTAGTAATGTATTATATGAATCTTTTGAAGCACAGCGAAAATACTGGCGTGAGGAAGGTGCTAAAAAGGCAGAAGATCGTACTGAAATTAGATGTTTGGTACAAAGTCCATTGCAGTCAGATATTGGTACTAGGCGTAAGCCAGCTGGATCATTTTACCCATTAAAGCTCCAAGATAAATTAAAAGGGAAAGTAATCAAACAACAAAATGGTCGTAAAGGAGGAAATTCTACAAGACAAAATCCTCCTGCCACTAAGAATGCAAACATTATTGAAGAAAAGAAACTTGATAGAAAAAGTGACAAAAAGGGAGGGTCTACAACTAGATCTCAATCTGCTGTGCGAACTGATAAGCCAGAAAAACCAGTAGAAAAACGTAATAGTACATCTTTGAACGGTGAAGACCATAAAATATCTGCAACTCTCACAGTGCGACGTAGGACTTTTCCTATATTGACTGATAAGAAAAAACCAGTTCCTGAAAAATTGCCGACAAATGTGTCTGAATCTGTAAGACGGAAGTAAATAGGTAATTATTGTTGTGATAATTTTGACAAAAAAATGTTTTGAAATTTAACAAATTTCCCAATATGTTTAAAATGAGTTATTCACTACTGTCATAAATACTCTATAAGTTTAGATACAAAGAGAACTATAAGATGTTCTTATTTTTGTGATCGTAAAGTTTGGTTTTATTATTTTTAATCTTTGTACGGTGGACAGAAAAATCTAAGGATTTGGTCTTATAATTAAGATTGTTATATCATTTTCATACTAGTTACACCAAAAATGCTTTAAAATAATTGTTCCATTCAATAAAGGAATCCTTAAAATATGTTATTATTACTTATAAATTATAAACATCATTATAATAAATTATAATCATAATAGAATATTTGATGTTATTTACTATATTAATAATAATATTTGTATAATATTGTTTGTCATAATTGTAATACTTCAGTTAGTATTCGTAGATATGTATTATTGTTTTCGAACCAAGTATAATCAAACAATGAATCATAAATGAGATATTTTTTTTAAATGATACATAGATAATATATAAAGTTTAGTCTCATTTTTTTTTCCTCAATCAAGTACAATTCGTGTATAATTTGGATGTTATAGTGTAATACTGAATTATTTACTGTTCGTAGTTTTGTATTTTTAATTTATTTTAAAATTACACTTGATTATAATAAATATTACTTTAGAACTAAGGGATTTGATGTACAATTACTAAACAAATACAAATAAATCAATTTTAATACATTTTTTGGGGGATTTTGTGGATAAAATATATTTTAAAACTTTCTTATAACTGATGTTATATACACATTTAGTACTGTAGCTACCAAAACAGGGTTATTGTTCCACTGTACATTGATTAAATAGTAAATATTTTTAATAATTGAAGTAATTTTTATTTACATAAAATAAATTATAACAATTGTTATATTAAATGATATACCATTCAAATTAATATAGGCTTTTTAATATTTGTATTTAATCTGTTTATGAGTACAGTATTCTTTGGTTATGTGTTATAATGTGCAATATAGCATAACAGTATTAGCATACAATCACTCATTAAAAATTAAAAACAATCTACAAAATATATTAGTGTTTCAATATTATAGAACTCACCACTAACACCCTGTATTATGTGTATAATTGCAGATTGTAGCTACTGGCTTTACAGTCTACATAATTAAGTATACCTACTTATTTTTATTATTTTAAAGATTTTTTATATTTTAAGAGTGCAAATGTTGGAAATGTTAATCCTAATAATTATTTACTAAACATTAGATATTAATCTTTGCATTTAAAATTGTATGTATTGGTTTAGTTATTTATATGATTTAATGTTAAAATTATACCACTGAAGAAATTGGTTTTCCATATAAACATATTTGAAAATAACTTACTCGTTTTTCTTTGTTAAAGTAATGTTGTCTTACATTAATTTATTTGTTTCTAAAACTAAATATAAAAGACTTGTATGCATAAACATTTTATTTTAATGATCAATGAAATAAATAGTTAAGCCTATAATGTATGTACACAAATTTAATAAATATATATTTCACATTGGGTTTGAATTAAATTACATTACATTTTAGTTTTGGGTATATTCACATAATATTTATACAGGGTTTTTTTTCTTAAGATTATACTTAACCTAATTATTTATTATTCATTTATATTTTTTCTATCATTTAATTCAAAATAATTATTAATTTTTTTTTTGTGAATGAAATATAATTATTTCTAGTAAATCATAAATTCGACTGTTTGAATATTTGAAAAGTATAGTCTATTATAAAACTCCATTTTAGTTTAAATAATATTGCACCCTAAACACGATTGATAAATGTATATCATTAAATATCTATAGACTTTTTTTCACCTTTACGTTATAGACTAGACTAAAGGTTTCTTACAATTTAGAATAAAATAAAATAATGTTGTGGCCAAAACGGTGTTAATATTTAAAAAAAAATGTAATACCATATTCTGACATTCTATTGCCTATATAATACAATTTATGATACTCATTTAAAAATAATGAAACTTAACAATACTTTTTAGTTTAAAAATAATATACTTTTGTGCAAAATGACTTTTCAAGCTCTTTAATTTTAAAGTTGGGATTTATTTATTAAAACTAAATATTAAGAGTTCTCAATAAATTAATTGATTTATAATTTATATTTAGCAATATATTTTCAAAAAATTCTAGTAATTTGTTTTCATTTACACTGCCTTTAGTTCACTGCCTTAGTGTTTAAATAATGGTAGGCATTTTATTATTATTTATTTATAGACCAAAAAACAGCTTAAAAAAAATATATTTTTTTTTTTATGTTATAATATGTAATGTATAAATTATATTATTATTATATTAGAAATTAAAGTGTATTGACTGTAATAGAACTTTTATCATTCTTACAATAAAGTATTGTAGTACATTTTATTCAATCTTAATAGTATGTACAAATATAATATTAATATATTGTAATTTATATAATATTATGTATAGGACTTTCACATTATATTATGAAAATTCATTTGTTTAAAAAATTGGTGTACAAAATATTACTAATTCAAAAATTGTCATTATTTAGTGGTAGTAGAACACTAATTATTTTATTGTGTATTTTATGCAAGCCGTGGTGTGGCAAAGGGAAGTAATCGAGAGGCGGCTGCCTCTCAATTTTTTGAGGAATAATCTTATATGGTTTTAAAATGGCCTTAAAAAGGCAATCTCCCCACGCTCCATAAATGTAAAGTGTTTTTATAGTACAGTTTTTAGGAGAAAGATAAAAACTCAGTGTTCAATGTTCAATAATAGGTCTTGGGCTGTAGGTGGGTGGTCATCAAAAAATATACTTTCCTCTGAAAATTCTTTAGTTTGCCACACCACTGTATGTGAGTATGCCCAAATTAATCAATTTGTCTATGTAGGTTACATTGAATTTGTGTTCTATTTTCATAACTATCATTAGTTTTTCATCATATGAAAATATTGTTCCTTCTCACCGCCTAAAACAATACTGGCATAGAGACCTTCTAAACAATCTAAACTATTAGTAGAAAAAAATATATCCGAATGATGAGGTCTAATTTTGAAGTGGTGTCACTGGGTTCTCTTCATACAGAAATAAAATGTCCATTAATTCTTTAACATTACTTAATGTATTAGCGTCACATTATGACTTTTCAAAAAAAAATCTGGGCCATCACTTGTAGAGAAATAAAGTGCAAATTTTTATATTTCTTTATTTGGTAGGTATTTTGTATAATTGATTGTAAATATATGTATGAATATACTATGTATTATAATTTATCAGACAATCAGTATATCATTTTCCTATGAAATGTTTTTTTTACCTGTTATTCTATTGATTCTTGAATACTTATCTGATTAATTATACCTACCTATATTATATTCAATAAATAGCATTTTATAGAATATTTAATGGCAAAGAGGTACTGAGTAAATTATATTATACAAATGAGGTGGACTACTGGACTGTGTATTAAACTTAATAAAAAACCATAGTTTATAATGCAAATGCAGTTCTTTGTTATTATTTACTTAATAATATAATCAGGCATTATAGTGCCAAACATAGGCACATTGTTACAATACAATATTTAAATTAATACAATAGAATTTCAGTTTGCACTAAGTGGTTGATAACTTCCGAGTTGATTTGGAATGGTACACGACCTGTGAACGATGTAATGGCTTTTGCTTTTTCCCTGATGTATTCCAACTGAGCATGCATTTGTTCTGGATCCCTGGCTGACTTATTTGATTCTTTTTTTATGTCACTGTATTGTGAGTATAACATGTTCATTGTGGCCGTCATCACTCCAGGTATAATTCTCAATATTAATTCGTTGTATTTCTTAAATGAACCAAGCCGTTCTTCTACCTGATTTATAGCCAACGGAATCAAACCAATTGTCTGAAGCACGTCAAAAGCTAACGTGTATTTGTGATTGTTGTACTGTTCAAAAAATACAATGACACTCTTCAACATATTAAATGTGAAAATGGCTTCCTCAGACACATTAGCTTTGACTCCTGTCAGTCGCTGACTTAAGACTTGAGCATAGTCAAACATTTTGTTCTTAGTGTTAGGAGTTTTGTCCAAGGATGTGAAGATATCTGGTTGAATTACCCGACTCAACATAATGTTGGCAAGTTCGAGCACCTTATCGTACTGACCCACCAATTCGTACAATTTAGCTGACACCTCGAGATCACACTTTTGTTCTGCAAGTGTAGCCGTTGTTCTAATAATTTGCATTTTCAGTGTTTCTGATACAATTAAAGAGTCCAAAATACCGTTTTGCTTTTTACCATCTGGCTTCAGGTACCCAAACACTTTGTCGTATTCATCCGTTTCAATTACAAGATCAGCTACATAGGAAATGAAAAGTGTTGTACCTTCAAATTCAGTGTGTCTCAGACAATAGTAATAGTTGATGGCCATTTTAAGGTCTTGATTTTCAAATTTGGCACAATACATTTTCATCATTCTAGCTATATTTAATCTGTCAATTTTATTATCGTCTTTGGATAAAATTGGCTGATTAAAGTCATTAGGTAAGTATAGTAAACCTATTTCGTTCAAAACTATAGATATGTGTATGGCATGACAACAAAGTTTTGGGTGCCGGAAAATAAATTGAATAGCCGATTCGAATTGACCAGTTAAGAAAAGCAATTGGAAATAAGACATAGGTTGGACATCGCTGTATTGATCTTTGTATTCTTCATAGATCATCGACTGGAGTACAGGATATGTGAGCTTGTCTTGATCATTTCTGACTTGACATAATTTTAACCATAGATAATCGTCTGCAGTCTTGATCACATCTGAATGTTTGCTCGACACATCAATAGCAGAGACTAAAGAATAAATCACTTTTTTAAATGGATCATTGGAGTCCCATGCCATTGACGTACTAAATCCTTGATTGTTTAAGCTGATATAATTATGGTTATTTCTTATGTTTGAAAAAGCATTTAGTAACAATGGATCATGATTATTTTTTTCTAAAATGCGCACAACGGATTCTAAATCACCACAACGAATTAGATAGTATACCAATGGCCAAAATGGAACACTGTCATGGAATAGCTTATCAGGGTTATTGTACTGATTGATGTAAACACTTACAAAACTTCGCACAAGTGGATAAGTGCCTGGGATACCACCAACTTTTGCTTTGGACATGTGGCTCTTTACATAACCTTTCATGAACACGATATACCTCTGTTCAAGATAGGTCCTGGCATTTGCAATCATTGTGTTTTGGTTTGCAGCGGAACTCCTGGCATATTTGGAACCACATTCGGGAACGATCTGACTCATGCATTTGACTATCTTCCACATTTCATTCACGCGGTCATCGTGGCTGATTTCTGCCGCTGTCGTGAAAGACTGCAAAATGTCGGTTTGAACTCCATGGTGTTCCACATGTTGATTGTATTCACACAAATATTTGGCATACGTGAGTTCGACTTGGTCAAGCTGGGCGCTCAGGCCGAAGTTGGTGGTATTAAGCTTTGCAATGGACGGCATCACACTGGAATTGGGGCTTGACGACGGGTTTGGCACGTAACCAGGAAACGAGTTGATGATATTGATCTTCTTGTTCCTCCAGCACCTGATTGTGGCCTCACTCTGCCGCTTGTCAATGAAGTCCTCGTTGCTTTTTTTCACCGACTCGATCAGGCTAAGTATGGCATTCTGTACCTCGTTCTTCACGAAGCTGTCCACGTCCATATCGGGCTTCGGGTCCAGTGTGTCCATCGAGCCCACGGAGCTGAGCTTTTCCAACTGCTTGGGCACCTGCGGGGCGTCCACGCCGCGGCTGCACAGGAATACATTGCCCTTGGCCTCCACGCCCGGCACGCCGACTTTGGTCCACAGACTTTCGGCGGCGTCCAACAATTGTCGGATGTTCCGGGTAACGCTCGGCATACCTGTGTCGGTGATGGCGTTGGTCTGCAGCTTTTCGGCCGTCATCACGATCGAATTCCAATCGGTGTTGCCGGCCATTATTAATGATGTACCTAATTGTATACCTACGTAGCAAAGGCGTCAACACTGAAAACAATCCAACCGAGTCAAACAATTATAGCTAACCCAACTTTGATCGCTTATCTATGAGCTAAGTGCTAACTCAGCTAACCCATAGAATAGAGATCAGTAGATCGCTGATAACAGATTTGCCTCTAAAGTGCTCGGACCACGGGTATCCTGTTACAACCAAATACCAAGTACATGCGAAAAGTTAAAAGTTAAAATATCATTTAACGTATTTTGATACTATGATTCCCGATCGTCGTGCGGTGGCGGGCTGCATGACAGAATAGCGTCAAACAACGTCCTTATCAAATATTCGAATTAGACGATAACCGGCTTACTTCTAGCGCTCCCAGCGGAACTTTTGGTGTACCATAGTACGTCCATACCACACCACATCCGGCACGGCTGCAGATAGTAGATACCAGTTGTAGTCAGTACCACCACAACTATAGCCGTGATATCCGGTGTGATACCCGGGAATCGTGATCAATGAACTTGTACATTACAACAAGGCTGGAACAAGAATTATCACTACCACATACATTTCAATAATTATCTACAGTCGTGGGCTACGAGCTATGACCACGATGTAAGGTGTATTTAAAAACCAATGGACACGAATATTAAAATATCACATTATGTCTAAATTCGTGACCGTAGATCGGATAATACACTGTTGTCGTAACGTCCGTGCTTATGAGTCATGCCCGTGGTGGATACCTTTACGCCTATATTATTATTTTACTGTTACTGCGCCAGTGGTCGTTAACAATTAATTATATAGCAAACAAACTATGTTTTCCGAAGACAATAAAGATAATATATGAAACAGCGTAGACTGCAGCTGCTGCTGAGTCTGAAGATCCTTGATACACACCTATTTAACTGTACACAGTACACACGACAGGTTGGATGCTATATCGCTCATATAGTGCATAGCCGTGCGCAGACCTGAATTTCGGGGAGTGCCTACAATATTTTTGGGCCCTTTTCTTAATTTGGTCCCTCTCTTAACAAGTTATGTAGGTACCTATATAATTATTATTAGTACCAATAGTTACATGATATTTGAATATTGCTTTGGATCTAGTATCTATTTCTACAAGATAATTGAAATATTTATTTATCATTTCACATTTGTACAGTGTGCTTGTGAAGTCAATAACATCTAGCTGTAATAATCATAATAAGTTATTCCATGCAGTTTCAAATTATTTTACGTCTTCTTATTTTTTTTTTATCGGGAAACATGATTTATTCTCACCACATATTTAAAATAAAATTACATTCTACTCTAGTAACATTATTAAAAATACAGGCCGAATCCTTTGAAACTTAAATGTTAGGGCCCCAATTACACAATTTCAAGGGGTGCCCTGCAGGCACACCCGGCAACCCCCGGCGCACGCCTATAATATTTCTATTTTTTGTTATAACTATTTTTTAGAAGGTATATTATACGTCTCATAGTAACACTATAGTATATAATTATACCAATTTATTACTATAGGCTGTAATATTTGTTTTTAGTGAAATAATGTTGCTATTTGTTGGAACTTCTTATCTAAAAGTTATTAATTTCATTTGATTTTAGCTTTGAAGAATCTACCAATTTATTGGTGTTTCAAGCGAATATTAATAAATACAATTTTTAGCAAGTATTTCGTAGGTATTCTATATAAAATAAAACTTATCCTTATGAAACAGTTTATTAGGTAGATAATAGATAGTAGGTCCATCAACGTTAAACAAATAATAATTATATTTAAATGACTATTTTCTTTAAAGGTTACTTTTAGTTGGTACTCAGTCCATTATTATTATATTATGATCTAGTTCCTTCAAAATAGATTTTTCTATATAGACATCCAAATAATTGCTTCTAGATTATCATAGTTAGTCATTGAATTTCTCAAGCTTTTGTTTTAGATATTTAAGAGTAGAAAAAAATCTACGGATTATTCCTTTATCAAACTTATTTCGAATCAAAATATAGCCATCAATTTAAAGCCAAAAATTATCAAATTATAGATTTATGGCCGACCCCCACGGTCACTTTTTGTGTGAGCGATCCAGGCCACCCTGAAATATCCCTGTGGGCCACTCAGCCCCTAAATTGGACACTATGGGCTATGACCATGCTGTATATGAACTTGTTCATTCGATCTTCACGTGAGATTTTTCCTACACAATGCAATGATATAAATACTGGCACGAACACCATCCTTTAAATGTTAAGTCCCGGAAAGAAGGCCTGAGGTCCTTTGGAAGTCGGAACACTGGCTGTCTGGCTTAGCGGTAGGTGGACTTCCGTGTAAATAGCCGCTACGTATAAAAATTCCTATTAATCTAGGAACATCAGGCATAACATGCATTTGTAAAATCTAAAAACCGATTGTCAAATAATAAAATAGCAATCGGTTACTAGTTATTTTTATAATAAAGATAATAATACTATACCGTTAGTGACGCGTCTGAGTTGTTTAGTAATAATAGATCAATTAAATATTAGGATGACGCCACATCTGCAAACGTTATCTCCGCGTCTCCACCTCTCACGTAGGTGCAACATTTTAACTATACCTACACAGTTAGTAATTATTATTTAATTTTAATTTTAAGTGCAGGTAACCTTAAATCATAGATAATGAAGAATCTTATATGATTATTTACGAGTTAAATAATAGAGTGAATTGACCTATTATCCAACTTTAAGGTAAGAACATTATCCGTGTTTTAGCATTAGTTTTTTACAATATAATTTAATTTTGAAGAGAGTTAAGTTTTAAGCAATATTGTAAAAAAATCATCTGAAAAAACAGTTAATGTTCAGATGTTCTTACTTTTAAGTTTGATAATGACCAATAACAAAATTTACTTAATCAATAAAAGTTAATGTACAAATTGGAACCGCTGAACACAAATTTATTTACTCGTATATTTGTATACGACACTCTCAGTTTCTCAGTTCTCTTATCACTAGGTAGCTTAAGTTAATATTGTGTGTAGAAGTATAACATGACATAGGTACTCACATAATCGTGTTCAAACTATATTATTATATATTCTGTGATTATAATTTGTTTGGTTTCTAAAATATCAAAATTTGAGTGTACCTAATCATCTTGAGTTTTATGTATGAACTATGAAGTATTTGGTAACTAACTTACCTAAATGGTTTCATTGTCTCATTAGAAAATATAATTTAAGTTTAGTGCCTAAAAAATTTGTTTTTATTTGCTAGTATTCTTCAATCATCATCCATCGGTATAATGCACACAGGCCTCATCTTCGGTACCCAGCGCCGGATTGAGACTTTTCGGCCCACCGAGTTTTAAATTACCACCGGCCCTAACGAAGTGTCGGCCAATTTGACAACATTTTTCTTAAGATCTTTCATTTAGTATGTGTGCTTTATAATTCATAATTGTTTCTCTAAAGCAAATTTTTACAAATTATCTAATACATTAAATTAAGTTATTTATAGTATACTCGTACTTCAGCTATATTATTAAAAAAAACTCTAAATGTAAGTTTAGAACTAGATGTATGCAATTTGTACACATTTCATTTTATACTCATCGATCATCATGACCTTAGTATGAGTAATATGGCCATTATTTTTAATTAATTTATTATTATGACTATGTTTTTAAAATTTGATTTGCTTTTAGATAATATATATTTATATAATTAGATGTAGGTATATGTACAAATATTTTAACACAATGCATTATTTTTATGCGGCCCACCGAGATTTTCTCAGTAGCTCACCGGTTCAATCCGGGCCAGTTGGTACCTATGTAATATATTATATGTTATAGTGTAAAGGTACATAAAATCTGTTCGACGGAAAATAAATGGCCAAATAGAGTTTTAACACAGGTTACATACAGCAGCAACACTGGCGTTCGGTCATAACTCATATTTAATTCGTAATAGTTGAGAAATCAAATACTTTTAAGAAGATAAGGACTTAAGGTATTAATAATAAGTAATAACTTTGTCGACAAGTATTCGTGTTGAAATGATAGCTTATGCAGTTATGCAAAAGCAACCACCCAATATTTCAACTACAAACGTTTTGCACAAGTATATAAATATTTATATAACAACATTAAATTGAACAGATTAAATTATTTATTGTATCGGCATTAGACACTAAAAGGTTTTTGGTGTATGACATTTATAGTGCTCTCTTCGGGGTGTCAAGCATTTATGTTAAATTGTAATATTTTTCAAGATTGAAAACATTTTCACTGTTTTATTTAGACCCGATAGGTTAGGTTAATGACCTTTATAAGCCTACTCAGTATTTAAGAGGGAGAGAAATATTGCAACATACAGCCTTTTTACTGATGGTTAATTATTTTAATGGGAAGAAGAAAGAAAGCAATTCAAATTATTTAAAGATTTTTTGATATAATTATATCAAAAAAATAATATGAATTTTTTAAATATTTATTATTAATTGCATTGTTGGCAGTTAGAAATTAAAATAGCGATAATACAAAGCATGTAGAATATTTGAGTACTTTTCAATCATTATGACGTATTGAAAAATTTAAAATTAAATAAATTGTGTTTTACATTTTGGGAATACGTCGGTAAGAATTTAATTTTAATTTGTGTACATCGTATATGGCCCATATATATTAATAAGTCGAATGTTTAATATAATATATTATAAAGATTAAACGTACGACCATAGGCGTGCGAATCATAGGTATTTCGTAGATTTTATATTATAATACATCCTTAAATCCTTTGAATGCACATAAAAAATAGCCCGATTCGCTAGGCATTCTCAAACACTCAAATCCCTCCACCATTTTTTTTCTGTTGTGGATAGATTTTAAATTTGATAAAGCTTAAAAGAAAAAGTTTGAAAATAAATTATTGTAAAACATTTGATTAATGTTTATTCATTTAAATAATATTTCAATTACATTAATAAGTAAGCCTTACCCAAACAGGCAATACTCAATGTTAACGTCCATTTTATTTTTACATGGAATGATTGGCGGTTAATTTGAATATTACTAGTTCTTTGGCCTTGTTATATTGGAAGTATTGTGAAAAATTGCAATCTAATAGTTGCACTTGACACCAATTGTTATTTTGTGATAGCAAATCACTGAAGTATTCGTAACATGGAGCGCAAACTTCCAAATCGACTGAACTAAATACATACCTGATGATAGAAATAATGAAGTAATTTAGTAGTAATGTATGGTAACATATAAGTCGTACAATATGGAATTAATAACTATAATAGGCAGTATTATGGGTACGTTATAAATGCATTTATATATATTAAGTACCTTTTTTCCATTCCTATATATGCTGTTTTCCTTGGAGGTATTGACATTAATTTTTTTAGGGTATTAACAAATTGTTCAGTTATGTAATTATCGTAAATCACTGTAAAAAAAAATTGTATAGTGTATTTAAATATATTATAATGTACCCTATTACTATAAAAAGTGTGATCACGGTTTAAGGTTCTTAAGTATAAATATTACAACCAATAACATTTTAATTTGATTTGAGATTTTTAATTGTACAAAGGACTTAATATTTATTTGTATTTATTTACATTTTATAGATAAAAATATAATGTATAAAATGGACCCCACTGAGTTAGCTCATGTTATTGGTCCACAAGTACTATTTTCTATTAAAATAATGTTCCTTGACAGAAATATTACACTTTTTTGGGAAAATTCATATTTGTTTTATATATTTTTATTCGCTCAAGCGCAGTAAAACAAATTATTTTTCAAATGCACCTCTCTTGAAATTAAATAATTATTTTTAAAAAGCTGACTTAGAAAGTTTTTCTAAAAATTTGAGTGATTGAGAGTGAGATACGATTTCGTGCAAAATCTAATGAAAGTTCAATTTTAAAAAGGTGAGCAAGTGCATTGAAGCAACTAGGGATTTTAAATTTTGAATTTTTAGCTATTAAAAGAATAATTTTTATGAATTTTCAACTCAAAATAATTCGTAAATTTTGCTAAAATTCTAACTTCAGACGCTCATAAAAATGATTGTGGAATAATAAAAGCAATAATAAGAAAGCACATCCCTTGAAATACTTAGTGTTATCTTAAATCATGATCACACTATATTCACACTTATTCACACTGTGGGTTAATTATGATCATTATTCATTATTAGCAGGTCTTAATAATATTTATCATATAATATATTGAATTTTTAATTTTATCACTTTGCAATGTCAATAGTATATAAATTTTAACGAACCATCGGCAGCTATTATAATCTGTGTATTTCTTAACTTCTCACATAGTGCATCAGACAATAATTCAGGTTCGTTGAAATTCAACGGCATAACTGTCGTTCGACTGACGATTAAGTCTTTATTCAAGTTTATGTTTTTTTCAATCATTGACAATATTTCTTTGTTGTTCATATCTAAAAAAAAATCCAATTAAATCACAAATATTTAGTTATATTTATTTATTGAGACTCGCAAGAGCAAAATATTGTGCAGTGTGCTTAGAGAGTTACCTATGAATTATGATATAAATTTAAAGTATATTACTTACATTATTTATTTATTTATAATAATTAAACTGACGTAGTCCTTATACAAAATAGTGTAAATTACAGTAAGAGGTTATATTGACAACTATTCAATTATACAATAGCTATTTAAAAAAAAATACAACTATTAATTTAATAGAATTAACAATATTTTTAAATATGAAGATAATGACTAAATGTTTACACCCATTTGTGAACAATTAATTATTACTTATTATTTAAAATTTGAATATCAACGTCGAAGTTTAGATTTACAATCGTAATTAAAGTCAAAATTATCAATGTTTTGACCTATTACAAACCCGAAGCATTCGACTTTTAGGTTCATTAAAACTATAAGATTGTGTGTGAAATGACTCATAAAAAGTAATCTTAGATCCGATGTAAAAAATTGGAAACAACCTATTTCTTCTAATATTTCGGATTTTCGGCACAATTAATGACGCCATTTAAAATTTCATAAATAAAAGACACATCATTAAACCTAAATCTGGAGAAATGTGAGTATACGTATAGTACATACCTAACTTCAAATCAAGTTCCGTCTTTATTCCTTCTTTGTCCCTTTATAGTTTTTTTTAGATACATAGGTTACTGGTTCATGTTTGAACTTAACTAGTTTATTGTATTTTTTTTTAAAATTATAACAAATAATAATTTATCAATAGTAATAAACAGATTTACCTGTAAAAATGACTTCTTTGCAATACATGGCAGCTACGATACCAGTCAATCCTACTCCAGAGCCGAGTTCCAATACAATTTGATCGTTGGTAAAAATATCTCTATTTTCCAAGATAAAGTCACCCATTAATAACGCGCTCCGCCACACTTGCATACCGACCATATTTAATGAAGTTCGATTTATATGTTCTATAATACAATATGTCAAAGTCAAACATTAGCTGTTCGTTATTATTTTGAATCGCGTTTTTCATGTATATTATTAAAATTATATTATGTTAATGGCATCTTTATTATAATTACCTATTATAATGCCTTTGGCGAGCGGACTTCTCCGAACTACTAGATCACCATCTTCATCTACGGATAATTGTTCTGGACGAGGCTTTTTTGGTTGACATTTAAATTTGAACGTGCTCCTAACACCTACAACACATGTTTATTTATAAAAAAAAAAAGTAATCGTCACTGGTTACATTTATATGTAAGTCACGTTGTATATAATAATATGTAGGTTCTATTCTATTTTGTGACAAATACTAGCCGAACACCACTATTTGAGAAATATTTGCTCCGATCTGGTTTCCGTCGAAACTTATACTTTTCGCTTTTGTTTATGGTGTAACAGCATGATAACTGTTTATAATTATTGTTGTTTTACAAATTTGTACTCATTATTTAACTATATTAAAGCATTATACCTACTCAGATCTCCGAAAAATAATGTTAAAATACCCATAATTAACAATAATTACGTATAGTATAGGTATTGTTTACCGGTACTACTTCCGTGCGTGCTCCAAGTTTTGTATTTACGGTTACAAACGATTTACAGCATAGTCAGCACTACAATGGCAGTGCAATGATACCAAAATTTCTGTATACTTCAGAATTATAAACGGAAATTACAATTATACAATAGCGTACATTCTATATATTTTAGTTGCGTATACCGATAGGTATACGCGCCATAGAGTGATTTGAATTATTTTACAACTTTATACACTGAAATTAAATGTCATTATATAATTTATATCTCAAATATCATTATAAATCTATATATTATATATACTCATTAAAGTATTATTTAAAACCAATTGTACATATTTTGTGCTTATTCCATATTATATAACCACTAAATCACGACACAGCATATATAGTCATAGATATGCGTCCCCTGATCCGGCAGACCATCATGATAGAGGAAGGATATCAAAATTGTGTCTATAAATTTATCTTTTAACGACCAACTAGTAGCCATAAAATGAGTCAATTTCTGAGTCTGAGCACTAATTTTTTTATAAATAAAATTATGTTTAATCTAATGCTACGAATAATGCATGCAACGATGTAGGGTCATGTCTCATGACGGTTCGGTGACACCTATAAATTTCCGTAAAAGAAAATATTTTTAATGAATTTTTAAAAAATGTCTGATTTGCCGAAGACTTTTTGGATTAGGGATAGTAAAAATAATATGTAATCGACATATAATATAAAATAATAATATAATCGTAATTTGTGAACTTATTATCTAATCATGAATCATGATGACCAGTATTTACTGGATGACCTGGATTTATTCCAGAGGGGGGTGGGGGGGAGTCAAAAAAGATATTTAAATAGGTACGTTTTTTCTGTTCCTATTTCCTGAGTATACATATACAGTGTACACAATACGTATAGTTTCGCTTAATAAACAGAATTATTTATCATCATATAAGATATCATTACATTTTTATGACGATGTCGGGGAGTCTTTAAAAAATAAATACTAGATATGACATCAGCTAAGGAGAGAGAGGTTCACTCCCCTAGTTGCGCAACTGATGATGACTGATGAGTGATGAGTATATTAACAATTTAGTCAATAGTGAACAGAATAGGTATATACAGTATTAAAATGAATTTAAGTTAGGTATGAATGTTAAGTTTTAAGTAAAAATAGTATGATTATACAAATTTACAAACCGGGTTTCAGTAAATTGGGTGAACATGAACTGGGACATCGCCAGATGTATGTAAAGGTGTCAATGTGTTGTATACAAATTTGTATAAATAATTTAGTCAATAGGTAAACCATCGACCACGCGTTACATTTGTTACTTCGACAATTCAATATAATGTTTGATTATACTGTGATGACTGATGCAGTGGTGTAATATTATACTTTAATTATTTTACATTTCCTACATAATTAATAGTATGTAGTATGATTACTAATTTGTGCCAAATTCATTTCGAGGTACTTATTAATTTCCGTGTAGTAAACACTTAACTTAAGAGGTTTATTTTGTACCTAAAATATTATTTTTATGATAGCCATTTAGCATTATTTAGAGCCTAGAGGATACCACGAAGAATTAATTAAATTTTTTTATAAAAAATATAGATACCTATTATATGGCTTTATTAGGTTATTTTAAAATTTTTTTATACTATCTATAAATTTAATAATAATAATAATAATACATTCAGGTCGCAATACTCGAACCTTATTGTAGTTAATGTAACTCGAAAAACTCGTCGACTCAATTCTTTTTTATTCCCCCTGAGGTTAAGTTAGTTAATTTTTTTAATTGACTTTAAAGGAGTAGACAAAAATGTTTTTTATTATTTTGTTAAATCGTTGTTAAAATCGAGTTATTGAGACTCCACTGTACCTATATTAAATTATTTCCTATGTATCACTATTATGTGGCATAATTTTTATATAATTCCATTGGTGTTACACGAACAACTACACTAAAATATTACGTTTAACTATGTGACATCATTGATATCGATAATATCATTTTATTCATGATTAAATATTGTATAGCAATACTAATTTGACTTTTGTACGCTGCATACACAAACAATTAATGTAAAACAATTTTTGTAATAGATATTGAACAATTCAAGGTTATATTTAGAAACTATTTGAGGCGCGAATCATTATATAGGTACCCACTACCCAGTTTAGAAATCTAAAAATGCCGGATGAAAATTACTATATAATAATATAGTTTGTTTTTTTAGTTTTTACTAGATACCAGTTCATTGCAGCAGTGGGCGCAATTTTTAAATGCCCGCAAAATGAGTGCAATACAATTATTATCCCCTAAGGTTATATACGGGAATTATTATAAGATTGATTACGGTATTCATATACAATTTATGATGGATGAAAGTAGGCGGAGGAGGGGGGGGGGGGTGCAAAGTTAGTACCATTGCACAAAAAAAAAAGAATTATTTTCCTCTTACCGAAGACTGTCCAAGAGTACTTATCCATATTATTCTTGTTAAAGGTATTTTTAAGTTTGTAATATTTACTGTTAATAAAATTGCCGTAAATTATATTTTTTAATATTTACCTACAACCATGTCTCAAAGGGGGCCCTTTCACCCTCGCATTACCCCCTTAAAAACACCACTGGTATTCCATCGTATAATATCTATATCTTAGAATGAGTGTCACCGTGTATGAACTAACTATATACCGTCTATACCTACCTATATCACCTAACTACTATATTTAAATAGTTTTTATAATTTTCCAAGCTACCTATGTACATCGGCGTGTTTCATTCTTTTTGAAAATTAGCAATTGTATCCGATGTTAAATTTGTATTAATCATCAATATCTATTACAATATTAATGTAAAAAATATAAATGTGCAGATGCGCCTCACACCGCGCAGACACATATGCCAATATGTCATGTGTATTATGTATATACCTAACTGTATAAGCATTACTGGTTTGGGAAAGGAGGTCAATACTGAACACATTTAATTCCGTTAAACTGTATATGACTGTGCATAAGTATACGTATACAATTGTAAGTAATAGTTAGGTACCTATCTAAAAACAATTTTGTCATCCAGATAATTTATAGTAAATTATAAAATATAATAAGTACCTATTCTATTTTTATCCAGGGGCACTGCAGTTTCAGGTTTTAAATAGGGGTGCCAACACAAATAGATTTTTTCACTAGGCTAATTTGAGTGTAAAATTATAGTTATAATATTATAATATTTTATACAGGATTTTTAAATATATTTAGCACCAATTATAATAGTATAATAGACAATAGTAATTAGAAGTTAAGTAAGCAGCTGAGAAAGTATGTTGTATGTGTAACAATTAAATCATAATTAGTAAACAGTACAATAACTGACAAATTAGCAAAGCTGAAAGTTAGAGAAAAAAAGCTAGTTTAAATAAGTGGAGATCTCCACTACCCTCTTGTAAGCAATATGTTTTATTATGTCATTTACATACGACCAAATTTATTTTTATTATGAAATTAATGATAACTTCGGACCATTAATTTACCTACCAGAGCAATTTCTTGGATTTTGTACCTTAAGCCAGAGCTATATTATGGTACATGAAAAATAGGGTGGCTAAAAGATACCCTGCACTCCCCCTCCCCCAATATTGAAAGTTAGGGGATAATTTTTAACAATTTTAAACAAAATGTTTGATTTTGTGTTTAATTATTAAAGATCCATCTTTTTAGGTAGTAAAAATTTGATTTGTAAACGAAAATTTTTTTTAAATTTCAAGTTGACAATAGACATGAAAACCAAGTTCAAATTATTTTTATATTTTTATATTTAATAATTATTAAACATTATCTAGAGAGCACGAATATTAATAAACCCTATTACCTTCAAATAATGTTTTTTTTCTTTATATAATTAAATAGTATTTATGAATATCTTAAATACATAATATAGCCGATAGTCATAGTTTGGTATAGTTCCTATACAAAGTTTTTACTTCAAAATATTAGTAATGTTCTATAATTAGACACTTATTATTTTTTTGTAAATGTTTAAATCGTACTCTTCTAGCACTTTCGACTTTATAAGCGATTCAAGATACGTTGTATGATGCCTGCAAATAAATGAGGTCATGTTTGTGTTAGCTATATAGTTACGCCATATTATTATCGGAAAACATTTTCCGAATTGACGAACCACCTTTTGTATACAAGGTACCTGCTATATATTATGGACGAGACAAGTTACATTTACTTAATTCTTACAAAATATTTCGATCATAAAAAAATAATATTACAAACCAAAATAAGTTTAACACATTTCATTCATTTTAATAAAGGGGTTAGATTAATGATTATCATGTAGATTGTAGATGATAATTTCAATACACCACAACTACTTGCATCATAGTTACCTTATTTATAAAGAAAAGTTGGTTTAGAGTCAAGATCTACACTATAAGTATGTTTAAATGCTTAAAATCACAGTTTACAAATTGAGTTAGCATTAAAAAATTGGGAACTAGGTCCTGGTTGATGTCAAGTTTACCTCGTCGTCATTGAGTAGGCCACTGTAATGGATATGTACAATATTTGAATTCAATGTCTCAAATCGTTGGACATGCGAGATATTATTTTGAGTATTTTAAAACATTTCGTAAACATTTTAAACGCTTTAAAAAAAAAAAATCGTGATTGTGTTTTTGATATTTTTTAATTGGGGTCTGAACAACTGTGAGTAACTTTGTATTAAATTGTCAAGCTTTTTTACTCTAACACAATGTTCTCATATAAATCGACAAAAAAACTAAAAAAGTTGAAAATTTCAAATATCTAAATGAGTCATTATAACACAAAAAGACAAAATATTTTTTAAAGTTATATTATCATAATATTATGTAGTAAATGCTAATATCAATGTAAAATAAATTCTAAATATTAGGTGCGAATTTCTAGTTATTAATTTCATAATTACCACAAAAAAACCAAATTGATTAATAAAAACTTGTGAAAATTCCTGTTTTTTCATACATTTTTTTTTTAGATAACTATATTACAAGTACTTATTAAACAACTTACTATAATTTATATAGGATAGTAATTTATTAATACAGTATTTTTAGCCAATTATGATACACAATAATATTAAGTATTTAATATACAACAATTAGGAGGGTTGAAGTGTTGTCGGTGACCGGTGCCTGGTGGTCTTATATAGCTTCCCTATTACTAATTACTATAATTATTAATTAGTATAATATTTACGGTCTTTAGTCCTTTCCTTATTGCGTATATTAAATAATGATTATGTCTAGGTAGTATAGGTAGGTACTTTAAAATTTCAATGGCGTAGCCTGGATTTTTCTTTTTTTTTTTGGGGGGGGGGGGGGAGAGGGGATCTAATAATGTATTTACACAGCGTTGGTTTAACTAGGGTCTACAGGTTAACTATGTTTTATTTTATGTTTCAATTCCTGTGCGTCTATATAAATTGTATTTGAATAGACCATAGAAATAATTTTTAATTTTCTTAAAATTTCGGGTAGGGGAGGGGGTTAGGTTGAACAGAATATGCTATAAAGTAAAAATTTACACAAAATATGTTGTAGCACACTTGCATTAAAGTTTAGTATAAATTTGCCGTGTTTGAACTGTTTACATCCATATCTATTTAAGTATTTGTCGTGCGTAAACATATACAGTTTTACGAGTAGCTACATAATTATTAAGAAACTTACACTATATATTTTTTTTAATACTGGTTGATACAACAATTTATTATACCTATATATTAATAATAGGTGTGTGGATTGTAAAGCCCCAGGTCTATAAATTATATTTATTTAATTTACTTAAAAAAAGAGTATAGATATGAATATCTATGTAGCCAAAAATATTGACCTACATAACATTGTACATTTTTAAAGGGAAGAAGTTTGAAGTAGTTTGAACGGTCTTACCCCCCCCCCCCCCCTCCCCAGACTATGTCTGTGGTTCTGAATTTGTATATTATAGTGATAATGATGTGTGTATTATAACAATGTATATTACACATTAATACATAATAAAGTATTTAAATTAGTTATTTTATCAAATTTCGGGAAAAAAAAACAGTTGACATGTAATAATTTATCATCTACTTTATATATTTAGCACAGGTGGATTTAAGATACAATCCGATACAATTAATATAACAGGTGTAGCTATAAAACCTCTAGCCAAACTAGATATGTACCTATCTAAAATGTATGCATGCATGTAAAATTTATAATTTTTAAGTATTGCTGAATTAATTTTATTTAAACAGTTGGACAGAAGTTGGATGGTATACTGGTATACATATTACATATATTACAAAAATATTATAGATGGATTTCAAATTTTCTATATATTGTAATATTGTGTGTGCCTAATCTAGTTTTATCTACAATTCAAAATGAAAAAAACATACCTACTAGGCACTATATTAGCTACTATACACTTATAGATTGAAATCATAAGATGATTTAAGAAGCTGATTAAATTTACCCATTTACACTGTTAGAAGTACCTATGGTCTATAAATTAGTTATTACTTAATATGCTTAAAAAAACTTACTTCTGATATCATGAGTATCACCAGATTCATGTTCCTCGTTCAATTCTTGAAATAGTTCCGACTGTAAAGTATTTGTTGAAGTACTTGTAGTTTCCATGTTTTTTATTTTGTCAAATTAAATTATTTGATATGAAATATTTGTACAAATATGTTATAACACTCTCATATCTAAAAGAATATAATATAAAATGTAATTAATGTTCATACATTTAAATAAGCAAATAAGAATAGCCAGGATTCTATTAAACATTAAACGTATGCCAAAAAAAAAATACGCTCAGGGTTTGTGATATGATTATTATAGCCAACAAACTCGGCCAACTTTATTATACCTACTATACATTTGTTTATTGTCCTCACGCCTCAATAAGTATTTTATGTTTAAGTAACCAGTATTGTCAAGTTAATAGAGTATATTTATAAACGTATTACGTATACCTTACATAATTGCTGTGTTTCTTTTACTATACGCTTATAGAAAACAAATGGGATCATGCAGGGAATATTGCAGAGCTTGGGAGTAATTAGGGCTTAATTAAGTTACGGGGCCTAGAGTCATAGAAAATCAAAATTCAAAATATACAGTGGGGACCATACCCTCATTACACATAGCTATCATGAGCGTCACAAAAGTTTAGTATTCAGTAAGTCTCATCTGCACAGAGAGTCACTTTGAAAAGAATGGGCGATTTGGTATACTAGCTGGTATTGTACGTAATCATTATATATATGCGTCGTATAGTTCACTGTAATGGATGTGTTAAATTTGAATTTAATGACATAAAATCTTTGTATACGAAAAATGGAGGTCTGTCAGAGTGTCAGCCTATATATCTTTAATATTTTACACTATATAAATATATTTATGAATTTATGCAATTATTGATATTAAAGTAATTTATTTTACTATATTAGTATAGTATACAGTTTCAATGAAAACATTGTATTCGACAATTTTTTTGTGTGCATAAAATATAATGATGACATATACTTTAAAAGTTTCAAGTACCTAGAAGGCTAGAAATAATATATTTTAATTACAATAAAATAATTCAAATTGTTATTCTTTGTTTAAATATCTAATTTCATCCAACTTTGAACTCGATAAACCTTGGCTATGGGCTTATATTTTTTTTTTTTGGTTACAAACTACTCATGGGAAACTTTGTTTTAAATTTTAAATTGGACATTTTAAAAATTTTCAACTACAAAATACTTCATTTTCAATTGTTGTGGTTTTGATGTATTTCAATTTTAAATCCTTGCGAAAAAATTCGTGTATATAAATCATTAATATTTTTGTACTACTATGTCTGTACAGAACGAGGAAACTTGATTGAATTTGCAAGCTTAATGACCAGACAAAAAAATATTTAACTAAGTACATTAATAAAAAAATAAAAATGTTCTTATTCCTGTAAATTGCTCAAAAAGAAGTAAAAATATTTTAAAAATGTAATCACGTACATATAAAAAATGATATTATAAATATTTTGAGAAATATTTTAAGTATCTATATCTACGGTTATTTGTTTTTGAATTAAAACAAAATAATAAAATTCTATTATTCAGAAATTGTAATTTAAGAGTAAATTTCCAATGTCGTAAAAGTTATAAATTCAAACGCTCAAAAAAATAATAATTAACGTTACTTTCCTGAATTTTTTTTTTTTGTATCAGTGGTGGCCGTAAAGTTTTGGCGGTGCAGCCGTCATTGTGGTGATTATAAATTGTGTCCAGACTCATTTACCGCTACCGCCACCGCTACAGTGTGTAGTAGGGAAGTAGAAAAGTTTATAAGAAATTGTATATTCAATTTTCCAATGCTAGGTATATGAAAAAGCTAATAATGCACTGGAAAATATGGTCTTATATACATTCGGTGGAGATATAAAATAAAATAATTAAATTAAATCTGTCAAAAACTGGGTTTGCTTAAAAATTGCGGTTTTTTTCAACGCTTTTGAAAACTACTGGCCATTTTGGAGATGAATATATTTATTTTACAATAATGTATGTTTTTAAATTTTTTGTATCTATGTACTTCGAAAAGTAGGTAGGTAGTCAAAATAACGCTTTGATTTTTAACTCCATTACTGCAGTAACTTTTTTAAAATGAAAGTGAATCTAGTTGCTGGTATATTCGAGGGGTCAAATTGAAAATTGTCAGTACCTAGTTTTCAAAAATGTCAGGAAAAACAAAAAAGAAATAAGAATAAACAGAATTTTCAAGCAAAATCGATTTTGCTTTTGGTTACCCAACGAATTTTCAAAAAATTGTATTTCCTACCATTTTACGGGTCAAACGATATAAGGACATTTTCTTAAATCAGAAAGCACCAATTTTTTTTCACTGCAGACTGTGAGACAAAATTTCTTTAAATATTTTCTGGGATAAATTATAGCCGGTAATCCGTTATTCGTATAGTAATACGGTAGGTGAGCTGCAATATTTAAATTATGCCGGTCACCGATGTCCCCATCTTCCTACTACGACAAGAGTCTGAATCGCTGAATGTTGAACGGGTTGGACGTAACCTAAATTGTATTGCTAACACTGAAACATCACGCATGTGACATTGTTTCATTTGAGCATAGATTTAACAATACATTGCATTTCAGTACTTGCATAGACGTTAAGTGCGTCATAATAATATGTAGTCACAACGATTTTAAATAAGAAAATACGAAATACGTATCGGTGTTATATAGTACACTTAAATATATGTCTTAAATCGTGTTACGGAGGGATACAGCACTAACAGAAATCAGTGCACAAAGTCTAAAATAGTCTTTTGGTAATCACGAAAATCGTGATATCCAGGAATCAAGAGTGCCGAGTACACGATAATATTATAGTGCCAGCGCCGTGCCAGTAATACCTACCACGAGTACCACACTACCAGTTGCTACCAGTGTCCAGTTGGCAGTTACAACCAGCCCATATTGAGATCTCCGATGCTTGGATAGTTGAGTATTGATGAAACTAAAAATGTAGTAAATCAAGAAAATTACATGAACATGATGTGGGTAATGGGTAGTGGCACCTTAATACCTTGTATTTTTATTCTTTCGACTCGAACATTCATTGTACGTGAAAAATTAATGAAATTATCAAAAATTATTAACAAAATTATTTTGTTTTTGTCGTATATGAAACAGTGAAACGAGATAAGAGCATCGACTGCCAAGCAGCAGCGCGAGAGTGAGAGAGAGAAAACGCGGACGACGTACACAACAATTATTATTGGCTCGAAAATGTGTGCGCGTGTACACTGCGCCCGCGGACCAATGATCGGGCACCACGAGCCAGTACAGAGTCATTTTGTTTACATCATCAACATTTTATCAGCGGCGAACAGCACCGCACATTTTCTCGTCACTATTCGCACAACCAACGTAGCAGCGGTCGTCGTTGTTCCCCCCTGATTGGTAATACCCGACAGATCAGGTTAGTTTCTCTTTTGGTTTTCAGTTTTCAAATTTTACGTATCCACGTCGAATCATCACTACAATCCAGCACTCGCCGGTAAGTACCAAAATTCCGTCGACCACGAACGCCGTGTCGTCAATGACCGTCGTATTGTAGGTCGATCTCAACGTCTATAGTTGTGTCGTCGTTACCTTACAGCATAGTAATAATTACCGCCTAACCACCTACTCACCTTTTACGTTGTTTTCCTTATGACGTGTTTCTTTTTGTTTTTTCGTGTTTGTAGAATCGAATCGACGACATGATCCTTCACGTAGCGTTCGCAGCGTTCCTGTTGGTTAACTCGGCGATCGCCGACGCCGGTGTCCAGGAACAGGTGGCCGTCGAGTCAGACGAGGGCGTGCTTGTGTTGACCAAAGACAATTTCCAAAGTATTGTCTCGTCGTCCGAATACCTGCTCGTCAAATTCTGTGAGTAAACGTATCTTTGTTGCGTTTACAAACGCAGAAACTTTGTTTTGTTTTAAAGGTTAGAAAACGTCACAATGACCCATGATTTACGAACTGCAGACACTGAGGTCTGAGGTTTTCCCGTTGATTAAGCACCGTATTATTTTGGGTGGGGGGAGAGGGTTGACTTCATGGTTTTGTCTTTTTTAAATTTTACCTGTACCTAATATAGTGCACAATAACAATTATATTTTTTTTACTAAAAAGGAGTTAGCAATTCAAAATTAGGTACCTATTACAGGTAAGTTATTCTTAATAACTATTATGTATGATTCGAAATAAAACATAAGGAATATAAATTTGAATGATTTGTTGATTAATAAAAAATTAAGTAGGTACCTAGTGTTTCTTTTTTTAATTCCTAATTGGATATTAGGTATCTTTTCACTTTTTTACCCAAAGGCGAACAGATGACCATTGTGTGAATTATTTTGCCTACTCGTACATAACACTTTTGTGCTTATGAGGAAGTCACACCTACATGTGTTGTTTCAGTCTTGCATACGTAGAACAAAAAAAATTTTTGTTCACCAGTTTCAATAGTGTGCTATTAGTTTGATATCAGAGTGAATTGACCTATTATGAAATTTAAAGTTAATATTATTATCCAGGCTTTTATTGATATTATTTTTAATTAAGTGACCTTTTCAAAATTGAAAATTTTTTAAAATGATCACAACTTACAATAGCAAATGAATTATGTACTATTGTACTTTAATCACTATCTTTTTTTTAAATTATGTGTTGGTTTATAAATAAAAACAAACTCTGAAGCTTACTATTTAAATGACTATTAAATGAATGGTTATATTTATTATTTTTTCATCCAATAAAACCATTTCTTGAATATGATAGTCTAAATAGATTAAATCAACTGATATAACGTATACTAAGCAATATTAATTATAAAATGGTGTTATCAAAACTTTAATATACCTAACATTATTTCTTATTAGTTATAGGTTTATCACTTAATTCATTATAATTAATAATTATATTGATGTTAATTATAATTTAAATGATTAAAACCATATGTTTTGCTTGGTCGAATTTTACAAACTAATTTAAAACAACTGGTTAAATGAAGAAACATTTTTTTTAGACAAAATGAATTTTCAATTATGTAGTATTATGGGGTTTGAGATATGTTACCAATTATTTCACTATAAATTGTACCCTAATAATATATATCTTACTTTATTTTAGTTTAAAGCTTAAAATTTCTCAATTACCTACCTGTTTATTGTAACAAAAATAAAAATATAGTATTTTTAAACGTTTATTTGTTTAAATAATGTTTAAATAAAGTATAATGTTATTACTATTTCTTTTGAAAATTAAATTTTTTTACCTAGGTTATTGGTCTTTTAAAATAGATAACCGATAACTAATGTTGAATACATACAACATCATACATTCTTACATCCATACAAAATAAATGTATTTTACTGCTTTGTGGTGATTATCTTATTTATACATACAATGTAAAAAGTAATGAGTCATGTTATATCTTAATTTAACTAGACTAATTTGTATGTTTAGAATAAAATATTTCTTATGTTTACTTGAAAATTCTAGCTATCGTGAAAGTTTTTTATTTAAATTTGTTATCTTTTTTTGTTATCTTCCACTTCCTTTTGAATAGTTGCACATAATCATAATTGTTATTATTTATTAATGTTTGTACAGTACAACATATTTTTTAAATTTATTTAGATATAAAATATTTGTCTTCATTTATATAACTAGGTATAATCCTATATTACAATTATTCCATAATTATTTACCTATATATTTAAATATCTGGGCATGATACATGATAAAGATTTATATTAGATCCCATATCTAGAGATATGTATAATATTGTTTTCATTAAATGTTTAACCAATAACAAAGAAATATTTGGTTTTCTATGAAATCAATGGAAATTGTAACTACAGTTACTGCCTAGTCATTATTTAAAGCGTAAGTGTATTTGTAAGCTGTGGATTTAGATCTTAAAAGCATAAGAACTATGAAAATTAAATACAGTAAAACTCCCTTTAAGATGCGTATAACCTAGTCATAGTTGTATCCTGTATATTATTTATTAGAGTCTCCCTACTATAGAATCTCCTTAAAATAAAAAAAATCACTTGGTACTAAAAAATTCCCTTATATTTCTGTAGTATGCATAATAAATTTCGAGTTTGTGATGTATTGTTGAAGTTTTATTTCTATATGTTATAATTTTTGTTGTTTTGTATACATTTTGTAGATGCACCATGGTGTGGTCACTGCAAACAATTAGCACCAGAATACGCAAATGCGGCCCAACATTTAACCCAAAATGAATTATCAGTTAAATTGGGCAAAGTAGATGCCACTATTGAGAGTGACTTAGCCGAACAGTTTGGAATCCGTGGGTATCCAACTTTGAAGTTCTTTAAAAATGGAAAACCAATTGACTACTCAGGTACAATAGATAATTCATTTTCTGATTAGAACTATTATTTTAAAAGTATTTATGAAATTTTTGTTTTATAATAATTATAATTATTTTGTATTATAACACCGTAGGTGGCCGAACTAAAGATGAAATCGTTCAATGGGTATTGAAAAAATCTGGTCCAGCTGCAAAAGCTTTGCAATCAGAAGAAGAGTTACAATCATTCATTGAGGGAAAAAATGTTGCTATTGTTGGTTATTTCGAAAATTTAGAGTCAGAGGCAGCAAAATTATTTTCGGAACTGGCAGATTCTGTTGATGATCATCCATTTGGTCTTGTATCAGATTATTCTAAATTCTCTAGTTTAGAACACAAAGATACATTTGTTTTATATAAAGATGTAAGCATTAGCATTGTATTTTATCTTATTTGAGTATTAACTTTATATTTTGGTTTTGGTTTTAGTTTGACGAAAAGAAAGTTCCATTCGACAAAGATATTGCCAATGTTGAAGACATCAAGAAATTTATTTTTGTTCATTCGTTGCCTCCCATTATAGAGTTCAACCAAGATACTGCTCAAAAAATATTTGGTGGTCAGATTAAGAGTCATTTGTTGCTCTTCTTATCTAAAAAAGAAGGACATTTTGAAAAATTCATTGATGACATTAAGCCTGTTGCACTTGACTTCAGAGGAAAAGTAAATTAAATCATATTTTAAATAAATTGAGATTTAATAAATCTGATCAAATTGTATTTCTGTAGATTGTTATTGTTACTATTGATGCTGACGAAGAAGAACATCAAAGGATTTTGGAGTTCTTTGGAATGAAAAAGAATGAAGTACCAAGCATGAGGGCAATTAAACTTGAAGACGATATGACCAAATTTAAACCAGAATCTCCCGAATTAACTGGAGAGAATGTGAGGAAATTCGTCTCCGATTTTGTTGAAGGAAAAGTGAAGGTAGGTGATGGCTACTTATTAGTTATTGGACATTATTTTTAACACAGCATTTATTTTTAGCAACATTTGCTCTCTGAAGAATTACCCGAAGATTGGAACAAAACTCCAGTCTGGACTTTGACTGCAACCAACTTTGATAGTGTAGCTTTAGATTCAACTAAGAATGTACTTGTAGAATTTTATGCCCCATGGTGCGGACACTGCAAACAGCTTGCACCAATTTTTGACAAAGTAATTAAATACAATCTGTTTTTTTACTTTAACAAAGTTTTAATTTTGTATTAATTTATATTTTAGGTTGGAGAATATTTCGCTGATAAAGATGATATTGTCATTGCGAAAATGGATGCTACAGTTAATGAACTTGAGCATACCAAAATTTCCAGCTTCCCTACATTAACATTCTATCCAAAGGGAGATAGTCCAAAAGTATGTTAAATACATTTTATTATTTGTATTGCAAATCAAACAACATTTAATTTTTCTAACTTTTTCTTCTTTTATTTATTCGCATTGTAAACATTTTAATGTGTTATAGTGTAATCTTCTTTGAATGACTTTATTAACTAGTTATATTTTTTAGGCCATTGAATATAATGGAGACAGAACATTAGAAGCAATCATTAAGTTTATCGAAGCTGATGGTAAACAAGAAAGTTCTTCTAGCACAACGGTAACTAACATTTTATTGTTACAAAAAATTCATAGCCACTCATCTCACTATGTATATTCTCTTTTCTACTTTTGATGACATTAAAATTTTGATTTAAAACTATATAACTGAAAAACACCTCAAAATGCTGTGAAACTCCCCTTGAAACTGGACTTTACGGTATTACACATTTCTATAATTTTGACCTACTCTTCTGGGATTCCAAAATCTTTTAGCATTGTCCATTCAACACTTTATATGAAACTGTCCTAGCCTGGTTTGAAGTCTTCAAAAGTCATGTACAAGTCTGTGTATTTGTATACTTCTTCATTATTTGTTGAATAGCAATTAAAAAAAAAAAATCTCCATTCTGTGATCCCTGCAACAGCCCGTGAAACATATAACAAATATTTTTAAAAAAACGCACAAACAAACCTTCTTAGAAATTCCCAATTGAATATTGGTTAGCAGACTGCACAATACTACAATAATAGATATTTATAAATTCATATTTTAATTGCATATAAAATATGTTTAGGCTAATAATTACAGGCCTACTGTCTGTTGAGTCCTTGCTTAAATAAATTAGCAACCTAAATAGTAATCATAAGTTAATTAATTAATGTTATTTTACAGAGTGAGGAAGAAGAAGAAGAAGAAGAACGTGAGAAGCCTAAAGATGAATTGTAGATATTAATTGTAATGATATTTTTATTATTTTTTTTTTTCCCCGTCTTACTTGTGAAAAACTTCAGCACACCCAATTTTGTACATATAGCTAATTTTGGTTGTATTTACATTATTTAAACTATACAATTGGTATTATTACTATTGTAAGAAATTCAATTTAAGTTTAATTTTCATAATGTACCCTTTCTCAAGACTGTCATAGATGGTTCTGAGATGGACTTCTTAAGAACCATATTTTATTTTAAATCAATGTCTATGATTTTTCCTTGGTAAGTAAAATAAAAATAATAAAATTAATATTGATATTTTTAATTAATTCGTGAATCATTATTTTAAGTTATAGTTAAAAACATTTATTTATTAAACCACAATTACTCATGAGTAATTTAATTTATAGATCTTTTTACTAATTTTATATACTAATAATAACATCGATTTCTGAAATTAATTTTAATGGTAAAGTTTAGCCATAGGTTTTATTCATACTTTGATACAAATCATCATATTATATATTTTTTTTACATTTGTTATGTATTAAAACAAGCATGGGTGTATTTTTATTTTATCATAATGTTTTAACATCACAAAAATTCATATTTTTACTTCATTTGGTTTGTTAAAATGTTATCTTATTGTAGTTATTTTAAAATAAATGCTTTATAATTTATTTTGAGTTTATTATGATTATCTGTGCTATGATGGTTGAAAGGTCTTAAGACACACTTTTAAAGACAGTAGTACCAACATGTGATAAAATAATAGCATTTGAGTTTAATTTAGTTATTTTTAATCAGTGTATAATTGCTACACGTGATGACGTTTTACCAAATTGTTTTCTGATGATAGTCTATAATGCCAAGTGCAAAAATGTATATTATATTATAATTTTTAACTGAGAAATGTTAATATGAAAATATATGATATATCATCAAAAACTTTAAATATAAGATTTAATTTTTTAAATTATAATAATAACCTTATAATTACTTCAGGTACATTATTGATTATGTTATGATAAGAAGTTCTTCAAGTATTTATGTAGTCCTACATTGTAATGTCTATATTCTATATGAGTTATAAATTTAATAGATAATATTGAGAATATGTTTTTTTTAAACCAATTTTTTACTATTATACTGTCACCCTGAACCGTTCCTTTCTGGTGTTTTCCATTTGGAACAGGCTTTTTATATTAAAGTCCTAAAATGTTAAGTGAATTTATGTCACATTTAAACTAATTAAGTGCAATTGTATATCGAATTCTTGAGGTATCCCCTTGAATCTCAGAACAATGCACATACAAATATTGTCAACACTTTGTTTTCATATGTTTAAAATTTCAAGTTTCCTCAGTCAGGAACCCTAGCTATTTCAGAAATTGTTAATTAATTTGAAAAATAGTATAGTACATATTATTTCAAACTTAAATAACTTTTTTTGTACTTGTGATTTCGAAAAAAATAAAACGGTGTGTTGCACAGTTGATGTTCTCCCCGTGATAGTATGATAATTTAGTTGCTTATTTTGGACTGCAGCTTGAGTGGTTCTATTTCACGCAAAGCAGTTTTTGCACTGTTGTACGTTTCTTAGACGGACACAACACACGCGGGTGTGGCGTCCTCTTAATATTGATTAATCCACTCTCGATTTTCAAATAGCAACGTGTGTTTTAAATTTGATAGCCTGAAGTAAAATGCTTTCCTTAAGAAGTCCATGTACAAAACGTTTCGATAATATTGAACTAATGTTTTTTAATTACCAGGTAAACGCTGTTTCTAAGTATTCAGTAATAACTACTTAAAGTTTTGACTGAATACTGGGACCGACAAAAAAACATTAAAGTATACAGAGTGATTCACAATGCACGCTCACAATGCTTTTTTCTTAAACAAGCAGAAATTTAAATTCTGGTTATAGAATTTTTAAGCTCAGACTTTTTGTACTAGGTACTTAAGGACTGTGAAGATACAAACTTCTGTTTTTCAAATGAAAACACTTCTTTTTTTACTGTAAATTATGCAGTGAATGATTTTTTTGGAAATGTTGACGAAAAATGAGGGTGATCATACTCGGTGAATCACCCTGTACACTATTTTAAATTCAATGACTTTTGCCAGAATGTTGTGTCTTATTAATTATGTGTAAAGTAGGTACGATAATTATGTTTTCCGGACTGTGTATGCGTCAAAACACTCAAACCACGGAACAGATGAATAACAGATTTCATCTATTCTGTACTTCAACTATATTAACTCCCCCTTTATGTCCATTTTCAATTTTCATGGATTTCCGGTAGTTTACAAATTCTGTAATTAGTATAAGTTTAAGTTTATAACTAGTCAGAAGTTCTGGGCCAAGGCCGTAGCCAGGGGGGGGTTAGGGTTCGACCACCTCCCGAAATCTTTTTTGAAATAAGATTTAATTATTTTTTAAATAATGATCAATTTAATTTAAATTATATTTTCATATTTTATTATATTATAATATAACATATATACTCTAACCCCCCTAAATATTTTTCTAGCTACGGCCTTCTTCTGGGCGGTTGGGTTATATTGGTTCTTTTAACGCAATCGACCGGTTGTTTTCCAATGTACAGTCTTCTGTTCTTGCCGCCTGCATCTAAGCTTTGGGAGCATGTGCATAATACAGCGGATGCCTACCTCCCGTAGAGATCAATAATAACTCGAAGTCGTCTTAAAGGCACATTACAAGGATATTTTAACGCCGTGTGCCGATGATAACGGGGCGGGAAAAAAGACGCCTACAACTCGCAGTATTCTACGCATTGTAATGTACCTGTGTCCTGTCCTACGATCGGCCATATTAATATTATACATAATATCGTTAGTGTATAGTGTGCGTGTGATTGAAGTCGACGGTAACGCGCCCGCGAGTAGGTATTATTATAATATACCCATAAGTCGTATTGTGTATTATGGACGTACACTGTACAGCAACAGACGGGGAAGACATAAGGAGTAGCGAGGAGTAAGGACACACAAATGCACAATACATTAAAATTTAATTGAAGAGTGGAACGATATTTTTTCGTTTCTCGCCTGCACAGCATTGTTTTCAGTCTCGGCGATACTGCCGTTATAGTTATTTATGTGCGGTGACGTGCCACTTAAGGGATATAATATTATTATTTAGGACTTGAGTACGGATCGGCGGCTCAGACGTAGCAAGTGATGTGGTGCCCGCGTGCCACAGATAAATTATTAATATTTTATGTATATCCATATGGGCGTATGACATAATATATATATATATATATTGTATATTTATATGTATGCATAAACAATGCATTTACGATCTAAAACCGAAAGAAACTGCCAAACTGGCTTGGGTATTTATTTCCTTATTCACATCGCTATTTGGTAAAAATACCATCTTGGGCTTATGTTTCAGGTCCAACAATCACGATGTGAATGATGTGACAATTCAGTAAGCAGTGTTGGATAGTAACTTAACGTGCGTTACTCGTTACTGAAACCAGGGTCTGATTAAGGTTTTTGCCGCCCATAGGCTGAAATAAATTTACCGCCTAATTTACATAGGTATTGATATTTTACTAATATCTCAACGGAGTTTTTTTACACAAAAAAAAATTTGCCACCCTAGGCTTTAGCCTACACAACCTAAGCGGTAATACGGCACTGACTGTAACAAAGTTACATTTTTGGGTAACACAAGAGTAGCTACGTTAATTATTTAGAAGTAACATAGCAGAAGAACGTGTTACATTATAAATTTAACTTTTTTTTTGGGGGGGGGGGGATATATCGTGGTGCTACTTCACGGGGCAGTCCTTCCCCTCGAATTCGCATCAGAAAATGTAATTATAATGATAATTTAAGTAGTATGTAATTACAACATTTTTCCAGTACAAACTAATATAATAGTATAAATAAACGATTTTGTGTTAATATTATTTTCAATTTAACTGATTATAAACATCGATTACACCCTATACAGGCAGCAACTCTAATAGTTTATTAGCTTATTTATTTTTAGATCACCTGATAAAATATGTACATCGGCATACTCACAGACAGTCGTACCGCTAAACCTATTGGTAGGCCGGAGCTTTTTCAGCAATTCATAAATATATTATCATTCATTTAACATAAGAGTAACGTAATTGTAACTAGTTACTTTTGAGTAAAAATGTAACGTTACGCATTACTTTTGTACTTGATTATTTGAGTAACTAACAAGTAATCTAGTCACCTATTTTAATTTGTAACTTGTAACGTAACTTAGTTACTATTAAAAAGTAACTTACCCAACGCTGTCAGTAAGATAGAAAAGTATTACAATCCTTTAAAATCCGTGCCCTAGACGTCTTTAGTTATTAGCTATTAGGTACTTTCAACGACTCAACGTACCAATGAGAAATGTCCATTATACTACCACTTGTAATAAATTATAATAATAAATTGTCCCCTATTTCTTCGGATACCCAAAAAAGAGCGTGGATCGAAGTAGTTATGTAGTAGTAGGTACCATTTTTTAATATTATACACAAATTGATCGACTTAGACCATATTTGGCACACGGTGCAGAATCACTTAAAAATAATGACAATGTCGTATTTTATTTCTGTTGGCCATAATATTATCGTTGAGGAATTATTTAATAATTTAGCAATAATATTACACAATGATTTGTTATTTCTAGTATTTCAGAATAAAGTAAAAACATTTTACCCGGCTTATCTGTTTCTTAAGTTCCAATTATTACTTTACCTGCCATTTAAATAAGTACCAATATATTGCTCTCCTATACTTCAATTTCAATACTTAATAATTACAAATAATATTAAATCTTCACTTTTCTCTCAATTGTTAAAAAAAATATAAAATGTCCTAAAACTTTAAGAATGACCCAAAAACGAAAAATACGCGAAATAATACAAAATAAAAAACTAGTTACGTTTAGGTATAGATGTGTATGTTATTGAAACACATTTCAAGCTTGGAAAGCATCGTCAATGATGATCAAAAAAAGATGCAAAAGTCTGAGCCTTATTAAACATAATTAGTATTATAAATGCATACATACCTAGTAATTAGATGTATTGCCGTATTGGCATATTATTGCTAAGTCCCTATTACCTAGGGAAATATTATAATATACGAAAATGCAGGCTCCAGGCAATGTTGGTTGCTCTGGGGCCCAAATGTCTGGGGGGGGGGGGGGCCTTTCTGTCGGCGTAAAACAACAAATCAGTGGCGCGTACGGTATTATTTTTTTTAAGAGCGACTACCGAACCAACTGTGCACTACAGGAGATGTTCCGGCGGGGTTCTTATAAATAAAAATTGACCTAACTATATATAATATTAATATAATAGGTAGGTTACCATTTCCCCCGTTTCATGATCCTGGCTATTTTACAGCTGTATACCCATAATCTATATACATATAACCTATTCTCCTGTCTCCCATGGTCTTCAGTGTTCCTGCGTGCGTAACAAACGCGCCGGTCGGAAGAGGACGTTCGTAATTATTATTACTTATAATAATATTACGGATGTCGCCACGCGCGCGAGGAGAAGGCGGGGAGAGAGAAAAATATGTGTAACAATAATAATATTTTTAACGCGATGCGGAACACCTCGAGGCCACCGCGACCAGGAGGTTGATGCCTCCGCGGAGTCCGTGTCGCGCCCGACACGATCGCCGGCCAGTCTCGCAGGCAATCGGCCTGTGCGGTCGGGACGAGTCGGCGTTCACGTCCTCACCGCCGTGGTACAAAGTGGATAACCACTCACCAGTCACCACCACTTTGACAGTCGTGGTCACCGGCAGCCGCCTGCCGCCAAGTAGGAGCTGAGAGCCTGAGAAGTGGAAACCGCATTTAACCGCTAACCTGATCGAGAACCGGCATTCGCGTTACGTCCGTCGACCGGTGTGAACGTGCGCTCTGTTCCGCGGTGTTGCCCGCCGCGATTCGTGCGTGTCCCGCGACGAGTGATAACGTTGAGCGCCACTGATAACGAAGGTGCACCACAATAATAACAGCTACTGTTAATATTTTCGCAGTAATCTGTATATTATTATTGTAATATACTAATATCTGTAATCAGTGTTCAGTATTAATATTGTAGCAGCGGCGGCTGGTCGACGGCCGTCTATTTATTGCCGAAAATGTGACCGGCCGACCGCGGTGGAACTATGTCCAGAAAAACCAAACGATGGCTGTTACAGTTGCAGATACTACTCGCCCTGTTGGCGCTCGCGTCGTTCGTTTTCTACCAACAGGTGGGAATCACGGGAGGCAATGTGCTCACTCCCGGTCAGCAACAGGTCAGTACTGCTCGCCTGACTCGTGTGTTTCAACTGTGCAATTAACGTTTTGATTTCTTTGTTTTTTTTTGTCTCTATGTGTGACAGCTGACAAAAACAGTAAACAACTCTACAAACTATTCAACTTTGGAAAGAAAATCATTCCAACGCATCTTGCCTGTCGCCGATGATCTATTAGAAAAAGTGTTCATCACCGTAAAAACTACTGGGAGAAATCACTTGACCAGATTACCTGTAATAATAAGGACTTGGTTTCAACTTGCAAAAAAACAGGTATGTTCCTATTTTTATATATTTGTGTACCTTATTGTTATAATTTATTTTTTGCGATGGGTACCTACTCTCGGCAGAGTCAGTAGAAAGTGACTAATTTATTCTTATGGTATACTTATAATCTTTATATATATCTATTACCTACTCTGCAAAAGTTATTAGTATTAATAAATAAGGCATTTTTCTTTATTCTTTTTCATTTTTCTACACATCCAAATAGGTATGTAATATTTAATTATTTATAAAATGTCATTTATTCCTTTAAAGGCATTCAAATAAAATAAGGTATTGAATATTAATTATTAATATTATATGTCTATGTCATCAGGAAAGTTATTAAGGTTACATAGATACAATCTTATGAGTTATACAAAAGTAAGAAAAAATAAAAATGAATAGATAATTACAGAATCAAACGTTTTACATACCCTTATTTATTTTCTGCTTAAGTTTGTTGTTCTGAATATTTGATGAGTAAATTTGTTATTGTGTTGTTTACAAATTGTTATACAATATAGGTACTTATCTATATTCCAATACAATGTGCCTTATGCCTTTACCGTGTTTAAAACCTTTTAGATATGTAGAAAGTAGTATAACTCTTGGTAATTGTATAGTAACTTAATTGACCCTGTTACCAAGTTGTATTAAGACCAAAAAAAAAAGTGTATAAATGAAAAAATAGAAAAATGTTTGATCTTTTAAGAATAATATGTTTTTTTGAATGTTTTCTAAATTATTATTTATTTAAATGTCTGTATCAATATCATTGTCCTATTTGAATGTCTTGTTTTTTGCTAGCTTACATTTTATCACCTATGTTGTGTTTTGGGGTTAATCTTAATTGTAATAATTTTTTTTAGTTTGAAAAGATTTAAGTTATTTTTCTGGTTATTAGTTCAGTTGATATTTATGTTTTATCTACTGATTGTCTTCTTTACTTTTATGCTTTGAATTACATATCAGTTTATAGAATACAAATTTGAATTTCATAATGTAATTAAAGTTAAAATTTGGTGTTTGTTAAGAATACTCCTCACAACATCCCAAAAACATTTGATTAATACCTATTGTTTGTTGATATTTTATTTTTATAAATTTTGAATTCTGATGTTAGTTTGTTAACATAGGTAGTCTTACCTTTATTTAAAACCATATCATGACTGTTGTAACACACTTTGGTTTTGCAGATGATATATTGATATTATGTTATTGTAAAAATTCTATAGCACTATCATCATACATTTTGAGATATAATAAATTGTTAAACTCATAATTATTTTTAAAAAAAAATTCTGAAAATAACATATGACTTCAAAATTTGAAAATTGTCAAATATTATTATATTATATTATATTATAGTGGTGCCTGGTGATGATTTACAGACAACTACAACGTTTTGGTAGGTGTAAAATGTAAATTGAAAATAATTTATAATAATTAACAAAACACAATACAATATAGAGTCGATGATATGGGTATTACTTTAACAAGGTTTTTATCTTCATATTATTAATAACTAAAATCGGATATCAGCGAGTAATGGGAGGATTTTTTTCAGGTGGTTGTGGAATTTAGGGAGCATTCTACAATGTAGAATCTACATAAGTAGCAAAAAGGTAAAACATTTTGCTCAAAGTTTACCAGGGTTATTAAAATAACTTATATTATAACTGTACTGGTTTTATTAGTTTTTATTTTTAAGAATAAGAATTATAGGTTTTAGAATAACGTGATATTTTAATAAAATGTTATCTAAGTAAGTTCTAATAATAACTATTAAACGTCTAAAAAGCGGTTACAAATTATTCATTTTTACTTGTTGCCTAAATTACCTAATATAAATTTACGGTAAATTTAAGAATCTCTAATCATTAATTATTTTAAAGTAACTTAAAATTTTAAAAGGTTCGTACATTTTTTAATGAACCGTTTTTCATTAAAATTATATTTTGAAGAACAAAATGCATTATCAATTTCAAATTTATAAATATAATATATTAGTATATTACTATCATAGTATCATGCGTTGAGGTAAGTGAAGTGAGGGGGGAGTGCTCTACATGAGGTCTCCATACCTAAAACGACATTTCGCTACTCTTCGAATATGCTTTAGTATATTAATTTGTATTTGTTACTATTTTAATTACCACTGTTCAAAGAAAAAAAACTAGTATTTGCCGCTGCGACGCTGCCCAAGGCTCAAAATCTGGCACTATGATATTATTTTAAAATTATACACTTACTTTCAATACATATGAATATGATTACACTTTTGTCTTGCATATTTTACAAGAGTCCAGATTGGATTTTTGATTTGTAGTATTTTTTATAATTGAATCGAGAGATTTGAAGAGGAAATTATTAGATTCTATGATTTTTCTCACTGATAAAAACTCGGAAAACAATAAGTACAAAATATAAAAGTATGTAACATAATAATATTATCTATTATTAATTTATATTTTAAACGTTATTTATTTTTAATTTCCAAAGTTTTTAACAGTTATTATTCTTATTTGGATCCTGAAAAAAAAGGTTTATTTATTAAAAACCAGTTTATTGATATTGATTCATGTAATCGAACTTGAGACATTAGACTGCAGTAGAAACTTCAATAGTTTTACATGTATTTTATTTATAATATACATATATAGTGTTATAATTCATTCGTATATCTATTGATTGTAATATAGTTAAGGTCCTAATAAATTATATTATTTAATAATTTGATTGTACAGAGAAAATACCGATCTTTTTTTAAAACTTATTTAACCTTCCTAGGTCCAATTTGTATTTAATATTATTTAAAATCACCTCATTTGACCATGTGTTAAGTAGATATTATGGATACTTTCATAAAACATTTTCGAAGGAATACTTCCTCTCTTTATATGTTTGTAATAGTTTGTATTTTCTATGACTTGTAAAAATAACTTTAATTTAAAAAAAAAGGTGAAATAAAAATATTTATTTTTTAGTTAAAAATAAGTTATATTATAATGCGATCATTTATTAGTTTTATTTATTTTTTGTAGTGATTGCTTAGCTCTAATATTTTTTTAATTAATTTTATGCAGTAAATAAATTGTAGGTATCACAATTATTTTGTAAAATTATTTATAGCTCTTGTACAAAAACGAACAATGAAAGTGAAGGATTAATTATATTTATAGAATATGCCACGTTCCCTTGTATTTATAAAATTACTTATGTGGTACCTATATTGGTTAAAATACCCAGGTCCGCCTTGGATAGATATCGTAGCTATTATACTAGGCACATCGCACGTGTCGATGTCGCTGATATTCCAACTGTACATTTTGTATTTAGGTTTCGTTACATTAACTATGTATTTAGTATTTAACTCATCGAGCATTTGTAAGATTTGTAAAGTTCGTAAAATATATTGGGTAACTTATTAATTTTTATAAAATCAAGGTTAACTAGATCAACCGTATTATAAAACCCAAATTGATACGTGCGTTGTGCGAGCATGCACATTCTAGATTGTATATAATTAAAGTCTTTGATGTAATGGTGCTGTGTTATTTTTAATTATAATAAGTTCACAAAAATTTAATTTGTTACAGACTTGGTTTTTTACGGACACTAATGATCAACATTTAAGTCAAGTGACGGGTAAGTTGTATGATTACTAGTTTTTAATATAATTTAGGTAAGGCGTACACAAAATTAATAATTTTCTTGATGCATTCATTTTATGTAATAATATGTATCAAAGTATTATTGATGTTTAACATTTATCCAGCTATAAAAACTCGATACTATTATAAACGCAACGTAAATACAATCTAGCATTTTACTTATGGAAGACTGTACACACTAACACACTGTGATGTATTATTTCAATAAATTATTTTTCTTGTAACAAAACTGCCAAAGCTACACTAATGTGTATAATAAAAGTTAAAACTCAATATTTTGTTCAACGTACAAAAACCACGCGGAAACGTATTATTTTCCACTGGTCATTTGGTAATCTGATAAAATGTTCGCGTTATTAACAGGTGCTGTAAACGTATTATTTAAAAAACTATTTTTTTATATTGTATCCTCGATTTGAGTACAAGTATGCATTGGTACTAAAATACATGTTTATATACTTGATCCTCAGACTTCATCACACCGCTTATTATTTCGGTTTATATGGCTTGAGCTAATCATAGTAATCATGTATTAGTATTCATCGCTTTTTTATAATCTTTTATTATACCTACCTACCTACTTTATTACATATATATATATATATTGGAATAGGACTTTTAATGTTTATACTTTTTATATGTAGGTTGTTTCGCTTTAATACTAGATTTTTAAGAGATTATAAAAATCGTATTTCCGAGTAATTACCATTTTTAAAATGCATATTCAAACTGATAATTTACCAAGTTATACATTTCGTATCTTTATGAACATTTAAATACGTTCACATTTTATAAAGCTATTTTAGTTTATCTATATAATAAAATAGTTTTATAAAAAATAATATCAGTCTTATTTTAGATTTGATTAAAACTAACAGATCTGAGTAAATTATTTCTATTAATTAATTAAATTATTTTGAGAACTGATATTTCTTAATTGATTATTATTTTATGTATGTATTTCAAATTAAAAAATTGATGTTTGAAAGATTTCATTGTAGATATTAAAATAAAAATGCCATAGTTTTAATATTTAAAAATGTATTAAATATTGTCTTATTAACTTTTCAGTCACTAGTCTGTACGTAATATTGATTTTTTTTACTATACATATTATATACATTAATAACTATCTATAACTATATGTTATAACAAACATTTTTCAAAATTAATTCTACCGATGTCAGTAAATATTCGCCATCTGTTTTTATTCACTTTTTTAAAATCTGTACCTACCTAATTTTTATTTTCTAAATAATTAGTAAAATAGGTGATTGGCTAACAATAATAATAATCCATCAATAATTTGTTTTATGTTAAAAAGCTTAAACTATTTTTACATTAACTGGATACAAATATTTTCGTACTTAAATTATATTATATAAATCTTTAAAATTAATAAATACAAAAGCACCATAAGGTTTTTGTATACCTATACATTCATTTTAATCTCAAGTTATTAATTTAAAAATACCAGAATTTTAAATGGAACAATGGTTCTTCTTGTTTTCAAACAATATGAGCTCAACAATGACTTTTTTGTCTGAGTAGGCTAATGTACACTCTAGAAATAATTATGTACAGAAGATGATTGTTCAAAAAATTATTTGCTCAATATTCTATTCAATCTTCATGCTATTACATTTTTAAAATTAGACAGTTCACACCCGATTTTTAAAATCATTTTTTTTTTAGATTTGTAAATTGTAGTCATCTTATAAATAAATATTTTTGACAAAATAAGTATACGTATGTCCTATTTATTTAAATAATAAGTAATTCAAGATTTATTTTATAACATTATTGGAGTTTAATGATAATGTTTGTAGGTTGTAATTTTTTTCCCTAGGCAGTTGACTATGATTTATGATCAATATTTTATCAAAATATTATATATATATTAATTTAGTATAAGTTTTTTTTATAGATAATGGATTCACTTATTCGTTTCATATTAAATATTCATAACGACAAAGATGCTTTTAAAGAAAAAAAAATATAAAATAATTTTATTGATGTGATCGTTTCGATTTATGTTTTTTATGTTATACTATTTCTTATTCTAGGTGGTCACGTCATAAACACTAACTGTTCAGCCACTCATAGTAGGCAAGTAATACATATGCATGTTATATTATTAATAAATCGCAGTGGGATATCAATAAATAATTGTTTTTAAATTAAAATCTTTTTATAGTATTACGATTTTATATAGTATTTGACGCTAGTTTTAATTTGATTTTTTAGACGTGCGCTGTGCTGTAAAATGTCCGTCGAATTGGACGTGTTCCTTGAAACGAAAAAAAAGTTAGTATACAACTATTTAAATCGATCTTGTTTAATATGTCATTGCCAATTGGAATGCAGTGTAAAATTCATGAAGTCGTATTGTTATTCTATGGTATATCTAATTTTCCATACCTAAGAAACGACAAATGTACATTTAATTTAAAGTTTGTTATGTAGTATACTAATTTACTACTATATACGTACTATAGGTTTTTAAATTTTTAAACATTATACGCGTTTAAATTGCCTTGTTATATTAAAGATATTTATGTTGTTTTGAAGTTATACATTTTACATACACTACCGTTAATAGTTGCAATAGAAATAAAAAATGTAGGGCACGATGCTACAGCTATAAGAGTGTTTTAGGGTTTTTTGCTGTTTGATTAAACATTTTTTTCGACGACGCTATCTAAATATTGTTTAACATAGTTATATTGTGCTTTACTTCCGTGCATAATACTTCATTTTTTATTTTATTTTATTATTGATTTAAGGTGGTTTTGTCACGTAGACGACGACAACTATGTTAATGTTCCTGCTTTGGACGAATTATTGAAAATGTATAATCCAATTGGAGATTGGTATTTGGGACGCACTAGCACTCCGAAACCGTTACAAATTCGCGCCAAATCCCAAGTAAGTTAACAATTATATAATAATATACAATTAGTTACATCTATTCCTTTGGTTAAAATAATTGTTTAAAGTTATAAAGTATCTTAAAGTTGATAAAATATTGTTAAGACTTAAAACTTTCACTAAAAAAAAACTTACAATGTCATTCAAAAGATCTATTTATATAAACAATAATACATTTTTAGTTGCAAATCTTGATAATTACGTTGTTAAGCCTTTAAAATGTAGAAACATTAAATAAATAAATTATCAAACAATTTGTTTATGAATTACTTTATAATAGTGTGGAGACAATTTTTCGAAAGCTGTTCTTAGATTTTATATTTCTTTTTTATTCAAAAAAGAACACGAAACAAATCGCATTAGCATTTATTGGATATTTACCTAGTTGCAAAAAAAATTATTTTTCTTCAACCAATTTTAGTTATTTTGTTTTTATTCAACAAATATTGATATAGATGTTTGAAATATTTAACAATACGTTTATAATTATTTTATAAATATTCCGATTAATTTTAATCTATTTATGCGACAACCTATTAATTATAACATCATTATTCATTATATTACTAATAGAATAGTATATAGTCTACAGACTTTATAATATGTTAACTAGCAAGCTATGTGTGATATTTTTAACAAAATTAAGTTTTTCCTTCCGAATTAAGACAGTAATAATAATATTATAGATAGGTACTTAATATAATATTAACTATCCTTAGGAGTATATTATGCTGATTCACCCGTTTTCTTCACGTTTCGTTTTGCTTCGTTCTTAACTTAATCGTTTTTGTATGTTAACCCGATTATCATTGAATTAAAATTTAAAGTAATAGGTATATTCAAATCACATAATCACGTATTACGTTTTATGTATTAATTACAATTACATAGTACATTCAAATCCTACTATACAGCAGATTCTGCTGATTAGAGCTAGTTCCTAGGGTTTTTGAATATGTAAATAATAATAATGTATTCGTTATATCTATTTAATTTTTATTTATTAATAAAGTTCGTGCTTAAATGTTGGTTGTTATGTCTGTTAAGTATTTTTTTTTGAATCTAGTTAATCTAGTTGTGATTTTGTTTTAGAAAACCACATTTTGGTTTGCTACTGGAGGTGCTGGATTTTGTTTGAGCCGTGCACTAGTACTTAAAATGGCACCAATATCTGGGTAAGTTTTTTAAAATATTTATATTTTTTACTTATAACTACCCTTAATTTCATTCTATATTTTAGTTGTAAGAATTTCAAGTATTTATTTTTGAGTAAAATAAAAAAAACTATATCAAATTATGACTAAAAATATAAACCATCGAAAAATATATAAGATTTTATACTATAATATTTCAGACTTGAAGGTTAGGAACTTAGGTTAGGCGTAAGTACTAAAATATAGAATAGAATTTTAAAAAGTTAAGCGGAGATTTATTAAGTGTTTTAATTTTAGTTCAATCCTAGTCAAGTGTTACTGCTGGGTAGCTACTCCCCTCAAGCATTCATTGCCAATATATCTTTACGCGCATATGCTTATTGAGATTGTATAATATATTCTAATAAATGATAAAAAAAAAAGTTCAATCCAAATATGGGTGAGCATATAATATTTTCATTGTCCACCTACAATTTAAAAACTAATCCAAAACTTAGAATCTTAGGTCCTAGAATGTACTTAAATATAATTTTAATGGTTTAAAAGAACTACATTTTTATGTTATAAATATATTATGATCGTGTATATACAATACAATATTTCGATCCATATACAATTTACAAAGTTTGTGTTAAATTTTGTAAGTGACTTTTATATCAAGATAATGCTTAAAATGTTAATTATATTTTAATATTTTATTCGTATGTTTTATAATATGTATGTATAATGTATATATTAATGTCTGAACTAGAATAATGGTTTTATATTTATGACCGTATATATGGTGTCAAAAGAAACGTGCTCATGCATGTCACGAAATTTGAATTTTTATGTATATTTAATCTAAATTAGATGAATATTTGATAGTAGTGGCGAGGCTAAGAGGGAACGTCCCTTTCAATTTATTGCTCTTTCAAATTAAACTATGTACCTAAACTAAAATCGTACAATATTGTTGGTGTACCTGTTAGTTACCACTGTCTAGACATTCTTAGTTAAATTGATACCGATCTAATTCTTTAACATTTGTATTTACATTTATGTGATTGTGTACCTATTCGTATATTTTTATTTTATTTTTAAATCGTTGATACTCGGAGAATCAATAAATGATTTTATCTCTTAAAAATTTAATGCTTATTAAAATACATTATACCTACCTATACTCGTTTCATTGATATTAAACGTGTGAACTGTTGTGGAGATATTATTACTGTTCGAATTCATTTTGATAATATTCAATACAATATCAGGTTTCTAACTGGTTCTTTAAGGTGAATAACATTTAAATACAACTATGATGATTTTTCGATTTATATTTTTGTCATTTTTAGGTAGGTATAATGTCGCTTTTTATATAAAAGTCGACCGATAAAAAATTCAGTTTTAATTGCTGGGATAAAACGAATTCAGTTCTTTCCAATTTAATGACATGCAGTCTCCATGAGTCAAAAGTATATTCGTAACCCGTTTTTTAAATTGAATAATAAATTGGGAGTTCCAATGCAGCTGCCAGTTGACGCCCCTTGTCCCCTCTGTTTTCCTTCATTCCTTGTCGTTAATCAAGTTGCTGAATTGACGAGTTAACCGGTTTATCACGTCAAGGCTCTCCGAAAAGGAGTTGTCCTGTGATGTGTTTTTCGCACTAATAAGCTCAAATTCCAATGGTAACAAACTATTTTTTATTATCATTCGTTAAATTATAGGAAAAAAAAATGAAAGGAAAATTTCCCGCCATTGTTAAAAGAACCAAAATGGGTTTCGATTGGTGTTTGTCGGGGAATGTAAAGCGATTGTCTAATTGGCAGATTTTAATTGGCTAAAATTCTTTATCGAAGTAAAATACCTAGTTGGAATCGATCCAAATGCGAAGGTAATACTTTGAAAAAAAATGTAGTTCCAATAAATAAGATATTATGTTGCCAACAAAATGTTATTGCTGGTGATTTGTTGTAAGCATTATTATTGGATGGTAAACTTAAAACTTAATATCCAAATTTAAATAATTCGTTAGTCATATCCATATGGTAATACGCACCAGCAGCTAGTCGCTAGTTTATAGGTAGTAGTATAGATTTATTATTTTGTAGACAAGTAATGAAAAGTAAACATTGTATACATCAGAACATGTGCCTATAATGTTCTAATTCGGAAAAAAAAATACTAAATATTACCTTTAATTCATGTTTAAATTGTTCACATTCAAAAAACTTTAATTTACAACGATATAATTTACTATAATTTAACACATGCTGAAACATCACGGGGCATAATTTATTGTTATTTCACATGTTATATAATATATGTACGAAATACTATTTAAGGGTGTCATTAAAAAATAGTAAATCAATTTTTGACAATAAAACATTAAACGATATATTTAAAAGACAAAAGTTATCTCTATGAGCGTTGGCTGAAGAATATCGATATTATTAATTTTATAAAAAGTTTGATATTGGCAATCCATAATGAATGTTGTGATGAACGGCCCAACCATAACAGTTATTTTACATAATATATAGACATACAGTATACTGTATACATATTACGTATAGTAAAGAAACATTATTATTAATTAGTTATTATTATTTAGATACGAAGTACGATTATGTAGTTAAAATGTTTATATTTCGTTCAATTTAAATTTACCTGGGAAACATCATGGTTCATCAATTAAAATATTGTTTTAAAAATGCTATTTAATACTTGTTGCTGCGTGTTACCTAACCTTTGTTAGACACCGATTTATTTGGATTGGCAAGGAATTTGCAATCGAGAACAACAAATTTTCCAAAAACGTACAACCCCTAATTAATAATTATGTTGCGTATATCGTAAGTTTGGTATTTAATTCACCTCAAATGTTAGTCAAAAGTTTTAAAACTTGCCGTTCATACCCTTAATTTGTGTACGACGTTCAAGGCGTTACACTTAAAAGATAAATTGATTGGGTACAACAACTTTATAATTAAGTCAGGATTAATAATTTTTAATTTTTAATTGATATTTGTGTGTATATAATGTAAAAACTAAGATATAAAAACCCGCTTTATAAAAGCTGCGGGCTATCATTTTTTTTGTTCCTCTATTTTATTTTAATTATATTTATTTAAAATATCTTACAACAATTCTTTCGCATATTGTGTAATTTTAACATCATTATTTTTGCCATCAAAAAATTAGTTTTTAAATTAATATCAATTTTCAAATAGTATTCAGAACTTTGATTTTTAATTTAATTAAAGTATATTTATTTTCGAAATAAATCAATGATATTAATTAATAAGATTTTTTGCAATGTTATATTTGATATAATTTTTTTCTAGAATTAAAAAAAATAGTAACTAACTTTCTTTTATTCAAATATATCATTGATATAATCATTCAATCAATTATAAAAAAAGTCAAATGTATTGCAATTAGTACATAATAGGTTTTAAAAATATTGTGACTTAGGATATAGGTGCAAGGATTAATAATATATAAAATAATATAAATAGGTACTATTTTAGTAAGGCAATTGGTGCTGGACAGTTTTTAAGTTCAAAATAAGACAATTTTCAAAATGCATGTATGAGTCTTTTGTAAATATGTACGTAGTAAGTGATCATTAGTGTGTGTGTGTGACTGTATATAAAATAAATAGCGAAGCGCTCTCGCACGCGAATGTAAAAGTCATCGCCTTAGCGGTTCACGCGTTACGGTAAACAATTTATGGTTGTTCGTATTTATTTTTTGAATTCGTTATAATGTCTACTTAAGATCGACCTGTCGGCGTTTTAAGATTTTTGATTTTAATTCCAAATAATCGACGTTTGAAAATTCCTTAGTTTTAAAATATTCAAACCAAATTTATAGGAATTTGGGGTTGCAATTGAGAAAAGTGACTGATCGGTATTTAGTAGACATAATAACGAATCAAAATCTGTTTTCAAAAGAATTATTGCATTACTAGTTTGATTAGTAAGATGGAAAAGATTTGTATGTTTTGGATAAAATAAGAAACAACTGATCGCCACCAATTGCGATTATTTTTCCTTATTTTTGTTAACTAAATGCTCTTCGGGGTGTATAATCATCAAATAAAATAAATACACAAAAATATTTAAGTTCTCGATTTTTAAAACTTACATAATTTATTGTAATTTGTATACTATTTTACGATTGCAATACATTTTTACGTAATATAATTTATTGTTCACTGAAAAGTGAAAACTGCAGAAAGTATACTTTACCTGAAACATCTTCAAGTGTAAATCGATGCACGTCCTATTGATTAACTGCAGTAACATAAAAACTGGACCACCCATCAATAATGATTATATTTTAAAATAAATATAATACTATTGGGCGATATAAGTATAACGTACAACTGTAAAAGTAGTTGTGTTTATTTTATTACTATAGGTATAATTTCAAGTGTCTGGTATTTAATAAAATATTATGTTGGCTTTATTATGTTAAAATGTGATTTTAATAAATAAAAATTATCCATGCAATGTTTGAGTTTTCATTAATTCGTGTTTAGGTACTTTATGGGAAATACATTTACCAATATTATCATAATATGGCTTAGTAAAATATTTAATTTGGAACATTTGGAACATATGACGTGTGAATGATCGTTTATTAGATGATTTTATTTTTTCACAAGCCATGTGTCACACATAAAGTAGTTAACTTGTCAACCATCCAGAAAATATACATATATGAACACGTTTAGAATAACAATACTTAATAGTTTCCTGGATGAATAAATTTAAATCCTGGCTCTGGCTCTACGCCGTTCACTATTATGCAGACAGAATCGTAAAATTTAATGGCGTCTTTTTTGTCTTTAAATGAATTGGTTTTAATTAAATTATCTGATTTTGTTTGTCACAGGAATGGGAAACTTATGGCAATCGGGGATCGTATAGGTCTTCCAGATGATGTGAGTGTCGGATACGTTATAGGTATAATATGAAAATCATGCTATGTTAATTCAATTTTTCTTGAACCTCTATCACTTCTATAATAATCAATGGTGTTTTATTTTTTGTAGAACATTTGTTAAAAATACAACTGACTAGAGTGGAACAATTTCACTCGCATTTGGAGCCAATGAGACTTATAAAAAAAGATCTATTTAACGAACAAGTAATCAAAAAAAAAAAAATATGTTCTTAGGTAACAGTATTAATTTTAATTATTTCGTGTTTTTGATAATATAGCTGACATTCAGTTATTCTTTGGACAATGAGCCGAACACTGTGGACGTGGATGGGTTCAACGAAATTACCGATCCTACCAGGTCAGTTTTTTTACTGTTGAATCTTTTCATTCAACTATAATTATTCAGATGTTCGTATTGGTGTATTAAAATATAATATATTTACTATATTATTTTTCAGATTTCTTTCACTGCATTGTTTTTTGTTTCCTGAAGCTTCGAGTTGTGTCGAAAAATGAAAAATACACCGTTACTCGTTATATTGTTCCAGGGACAGTGAGAGTTAATAAAATCAAATTTAGTGTCGTTTAGTAATATTTTGCCCGGTATTTTTTAAGTTTTTGTCTTGTTTGGCCTAACGTTTTATTAATCTGAAATACGAAAACCATTAATCATAAGGTCTTCAGAATGTGCATGTCATGGTTGGTCAGAAGGTGGGAAACCGTCATAATAGTAGCGACTAATATTCGTGTGCTTACAGTTGGATACTCATTTCCCATAATGTGCTCGAATGACAGGACTGATAAAATGCCCTCATTACTATATCGTTTGTTACGATAATGACATCAACAGAGTATATTTTCGATTAATCTTAAGTTTATGTTTGCCTAAATCAACTATATAATAAATACGGCGCATTAAAGGATTTCTTTAATTTTAGTTTGTCTCTCTAGAAATCATAATTGTATTTCGGGTGTTAATATTGTGACACTATTATCGTAATTGATTGGGTATTCAAATGTTATATCTAAAATATTTTCCGTGATTTCTTGTATATAGACTCAAAATGTATGTATAGTATACATAGAACACATTATTAAAACAATAAATCAGTAAGAATAAGTGTGTATACACAGCAGAAACAATGAAATAGTTTTTTAATTATTAGTTTATGTCCAAACGGATCATCGTTCAATGTATTACGAGTAATCATCATTGTTTTAGTAGTGGAATAAACGTTCTAACGAGCAGGGGCGCACAATATCGGTTCATATAAGTTACTTAAATTCGTCCGCTGTTGTTGTGTGTTCATATTAAACGCATTAGTTTTGATATTTTTTTTACCCCAAGGAAACTGACAAGGTCATTACCTATATACACATTGTTATTAATAATATGTCTACCATAGATACCGATCGTCTGCAAAACGGTCACATATATGTCATATATTCATCCGACGAACTAATCACCGATATTGTGTATTTGTGTGTGAGACTCATTTTATTGATGGGACAAAAATTAATGCCGAAGCGTTAAAATAATAATAAATCTAAAAAATAACTCGAATGTGAATTCTACGTGCAGTTTAGTTGACTCTGTTGACTGATATTGTCTTCGAAAGTGGGTGGATTACCGACGGTAATATAACGATGTGTCACCCCGTTGACAGAGTTATACAATTTTTTATTATAATCATAATAATAGCTAATGCTTACACACCGTTTCTAAGGTTTCCCGCTGTTCATCGACCCCCTTTGCATTTGAACAGAACATTTCTCAGTCACTTACATATTATTATATTATTACGTGTAAATATATTATGCATAAAGTATGTAAATATCTCACGTACGTGCCACCGGACGGCGCCTTATTGACATGCACGTTATTTTTATTTAGTTTTTCGTCTGTGATATGTAATTTTAAGTCATTATTTTTGTACAAATATAATTTATTATTATCATTACCTAGATTGTGATTTGTTTGTTATTTAATCAAAACACTTGTACAATACGGAACCGCAGCTATATATTGTGCCTTTAATTATGTATTTTAAGCAGTTAAAATGTTATTTTATTTTTCGTTAATTTAAATAAATTGTTCATTTTTTATACTATTATGGTGTCTACCGCTGATGTATTTTTAATGACAGTAAAGGTTTTTATCAACACTTATTAATTTTCTTTTTTTGTGGTATTATTATGTGTAACAATGAAGCTCATTATAGTCGAGTTCCATTATCTGATATTTCTATCAGATTATATACTGTATAAGAATAAATGTTATTATTATTATATGTAGGCATATAGCAGTATATACGAGTACCTAAGTTATTTATTATCATTTTAGATTAACATACTCCGACGTCGAACGGTGGAAAAAGAAGAAAACTTTTTATCAATAATCTATCAAGATATTTTATTATTGGATTCAAAAGCTAATAACGTTTTTTTTTTCATGTTCCCAAAGCCAGGCGCACAAAGGAAGGGAGAAAAATGTATCAAATCTGTATTCACTATTCATCACTGCGTGAACCGCATCACAGCCGTCGTGTACAATAATATAATATATATATGTCGACGGAAGTAAAACTAACGTTTTATACGTTTAAGTGGTTTACTCCGAGGTGAGGTTAAAGGAGAATGAGAGGGAACGCAAGAAAAAGGAAATGAAACACATTTTTTTTTCTCAAACTCCGACGACGGGAGGACGTCTCGCGCGATAAACGCTGTCATATGCTCGTGTCACGTACAAACTTTGCTTGGGTTTTTATATACCCTCGGGGGCATCAATTGCCTTAGAAAACTAGCCCTTATATTATGCCCAAGATAGTATATATATATATATGTATTGATATTATGGCTTTTTCTCGGCGGCGGTAATAAAGTATTATATTTTTATGTATCGCATCACGCTCGTGCAAAAGTGAAATTTTTCGATCTCTCTGCTATACGCTAGTACCAATGTATACAGAGTGATTCCTCTAGCGGCCTAACATGCAGCGGGTTACTAGGTTTCCTTTAATATTGCTTTGGTTCGTTTTTAATTTTTAATAAACACTGAAGAAATATGTTTAATAATATTTTTAAAAACATTTATTGCGTAGTGTACCAGTTAAATAATTTGTTTTATCATTTAAGGGATAGTTTATGGTGGTACAAACTTCTTTATATCAAATGCGAACCAAATAGAACTACTTTTTTTCATCTAAAAATTGATAAGCGAGTGATTTTATTATGTATAATATGCACCTTGGTCGAAATTCTAACTAGAAGTTTCCGAGTTATTAATCTTTAAGTATCTACTAAATAGTTTTTTTTTTTTTTTTTTTTTTAAAGTCGAAATATACGATCTATATCAAATATGACACAATAAGTATATATGATAAAGGTACAAAAAACATGAGTATACAAAAACAAAAAGTGAATAAAGAAGCCACCCAATGATGACACTTTAATGTTGATTTTTTAATTTTTTAATTTTTTTTTTTTTTTTTTTTTAAATTTCTAAATTAAAATTTGTAACAGGTCTCTGCACCATTTACGTTTTAATCGCCTAGGAGGATTGCCGGGGATTGAGAGGGAGGAAAGGTTAAAAATTAAAAATAAAAGGATTTGAATGGGAGGAAAGACGGTTGTGGAATCTTTTATAAAAGTGTTTGGCTTCCTCGTGGATAGTTTTTAGTTTTAAGTCTGTATGGAGAGTATGGTTAGATATGTATGGGGGAGCATTTATCAACTTTCTTATCGCAATGTTTTGAAAACATTGAATTTTATTTAAATTTGTCTTTTTTGCACTTATCTATCTACTAAATAGTAAGTTCTTAATTTTTGATGATTTTGCATACGATATAAAATCGATGTACTATTTAGTCTAGTACTTATAAGTTATTATACTCAGAACAATTTTTACAAATTATAAAACTTTGGTAGATTATTAATATTATATAATTGATATAATATTAAAATCATCGATACCTATGTCTTCTAAAGGTTCGTATAGCAGAGCGTTTGTTCAATAACTAAGAACTCGGTATTTTTCAATCATGTTCGGTACCAAACTGATAACAAAAAAAATCATGATATCAATTGAAAATGTTGATAACTGAAGCTTCGAAATTTTTTTTACAAAATCCTTCGTATCCTATGATAAAATTTGTTTTTCTTAATCATGTAAAAACACAAAATTTAACATGTACGAGACACAAGTCATTGGGGGGGGGGGGGGGGNTCTTGGACCCCTCCACCGTAAATACACCACTGTCCTAAACCGATTATTGCGGACTATAGTACCCTTAATTAATAACTCAGGTATATTTTCTGAGTTTTTCAATATTTTCAAAAGATCACATGCTTGTTCGTGTGAATCGTTTGTTTCGTCATTGAACACTCCTTAAATGGTAAAATATAAGAATTTGAATAAATTCATTATTAAATAAGGGGGAAAATGGTGGTGAGCATGCTTGGTAATCCACCCTGTATATATGTATACTGCGTAACATTTCATTTTTATTTTATTTCATTTTTCTTTACTTTGTCGTTGCCTGTATGTGGGGTATATGTATCACACACATATTATTATATCGATCTTCATTCGTGCGTGCACTATTCATGTATGTATAGTATAAGTAAATATATATTATTATAGCCGTGTCTGTGTGTGCTCGGATAACTGGTATCGTAAAAAAGGCCCACCCGACCACATTACCACGTTTCGCGAAGACTCCGAAGATTTGGACACTTGCAGTGAGGTCAAATAACTAACAGTTAATACAATAATAATAGTGTAGCAGAGACTAGAGAGACATTTAGTATGAGAAATTTAATTTAAAAAATGAATAAGAGTTGTACCCACCTACTTACCAATATGCATATTATGCAAAAATGAAACTGTAGACTGTAAACATAACATATAGGAAGCACATGCAGTAAAATATTATTAGGAAGTCGGTTAAGTTTAAAAAAAACGACAATACAGGAAATTAAGAAATGTACAAGTTCAGTTTAGCCTGCCGTCGAGTACGACTTCCGGAATACGACCTGTTATATGGTTTGAATACACCCCAAGAAGAATGTACCTAAGCAAAAATAGTTTTTAAACGGTTGTTATTCAAAAAATAAAAATAAAGAAATATCGGAAAAAAAAGAACGGATCGCACGAACCCCGTGGGTAATACGTAATTAGTAGTAAATACCTATATATATATATATATATTATATGTAGCGTACTCGAGATGTTTTGTATACTTATATAATCGGGAAATATTGTAAAGACTATCTGCGTTGTATATATGATCTAATTTGATGTCAGATAAGATACGTCTGATACAGCGGTCGTCGGTGACGAGCGATCGGCCGTTGTTCAGTCGCAGTAAAACCCCGTACCTATGTAAAGTACGCGTCGTATCCGCTCCATAGGTGACTAGCGAATAGTGAAAAACAATATTGATCAAGTCAATAATTTTGTAAATTAAAACCTGAGCTATCGTAGACATTATAAAAAAATAAATAACCTAGGACAAGTACTATTGTAGATACTTCGACGCTCACTCGCGAGAAGCCATCGGAATGGAAGAGAACGTTATTTATTTTTATTGTTGTTCCTGCGTCGGAGCCGTATGCCCACCCATAATAATTGGTGTCTACGGTGTGGGAAATAGTGAGTTGTTAACAGACGCGGTTACTTAAAACGTCGGTTGATTGGCGTCTTCTGTGTCATTTGTGTTCAATCCGCTTTTGGCGAACATATTCTAACGATATCATTAAGTGAGCATAAAGACATCCCACAGAGTTTATATTATGCGAGACTTTCATCCGATCGTCATCCCGCGTTGGATAGGTAAGTACCTATCTCCGTATAGTTTGAATATCTACGTCTCTGTAAGGTTCATTATTATAACATAGACAATATACGCACTATTTTTGCGCGTTTAATATTTTAATGATATTAACCCACATAATATATTACAATGTACCTATCTTGTATATTGCTTGTTTGTGTATGTATGGGAATTTCAATAATTGTTGAACGATCATTCCACACTCGACAATACAAAATATAGTAAATGTGTAGGCAATGTAGGTACAAATACCCAACCTACCTATCATCATGACCGACAGAGCACTGAATATCGTATTGTTTAGCTTTAATTTTATAGAAATGCATGTCCGTACATTAAGAAAATAAAAATATCAAAAAATACTGTTTGGAAAAAATAGAAAACCAAGACCACTCCGAATTCAACGCAAGTCCCGCCCCATATCCCATAGGCATACTCCAAAATAATGACGTATTAAATAGAGATTCTAATATGATAATAAGGAATAACTTTGCTACTTTAAAAACTATTGGATATATACGAGTGTGCATGCGTCGAGAATATATTCATTCAGTCTATATTATATTGTATAGTTTAAAAAAAATGTAGGTCAGGTTAGAAAAACAAAATTCTCATATTGTATATTATTATGATGAATATTCTAACTTTTCCAAAACAAATATCGACGGCAGTGTCGCACTTTCAAGGGTTTCCTACACACACCACACATACACACACACATGCACCTAACCTATATATCTATATATATATATATATACAAATGGAATTCGTTCTAGTTGCAGATATTGTATTAATATCAAGCATCTAAATATGTGAGTATTATTATTTTTAACTCGAATTTTTAACTTTATTTTGTGAAATGTAAATACAAAATATAATTCTATAAATATACTAATGGTATACATGGCATCTGAATTAACTGTCATATAACTAAGCTTAATTTTTTTTTTTGCTTTTGCCAATATCGATAGATGAATCCAAGATTGATGGACAAATCCAGATCGACGGATTGACAGTTTAATGGATGTACCCTGGCTGATGGATTAATACCACTATATATATATAATTATATAGTTAATATCTGTATAAGGATATTATAAACTACTGGTGATATAAGTATAACATATTGTATTTACTCAGCAATCGTGAGGCAAGCTATTTTAACAAAAGCAATATTTAGCAATTATTTTCAGCAAAGATTTTAGTCTACCCACCTACCCAATATTTTATCAAACACATAAAAAAAATGTATAGACTATATATGTTATAATATATTTATAATTTATATCAAAGAAAAGAGAACATTTTGAATTAACTATTTAAAACCAAAAAAGA